TCTGGCCATGTGCTCCAGCTGAGCCATTCCCACATCTGGCTGCAGCTGCCCTGCCCTGCTTGCCTTCCAGATTCAGAAAGCAAGATTATGGACACATTCTCTTTGGGAGTTTATCATGTGCTCCACACCTTATGATGCACCAGCACATGGGCCCTGGAGCTGGATAGGCCTGGGTTCAAAACCCAGACCACTTACGTCTTGTGACCTACGGTGAGCCTTGGCACTCTCTGAGCCTCAGCTTTCCTATCTGTGAAATGGGCATGAGAGTGCTTGCCTCACAGGTGATAGGCACTGCTCATTCTTTCCCCTCCAATATTCACTGGCTTAAAAAATATGTTCTGCATGTCTACTATGTGACAGGTACTGAGATACAGCAGTGAACACCATCCAAAGTCCCTACACTGGGGAGCTGGTGTTCTACAGAGTACACAGCCAGGAAACAAGATAAACAAGTACGATATATGTTCTGTCAGATCATGGCAGCTCTATGGAGCTACAGGAGGGGATGTGGAGTGTCAGCAGGTTGGAACATTGTGTAGGGTTGCTGCAGTTGCTGGGTAAGTGTCCCAGGCAGAAGGCAGAGCTAATGCAAAGGCCTTGAGGTGGGAGTGAGCCTGAGAGTTCTGAGAAAGTGGAAGCCAGGAGTCCTGCTTCCCTATCTTCTTTAGCCTCTGTTGCAAAGACCACAGCTTTCTTTACTTCTGTATTTGGCTAGAAAAGTCTTTAAATTAAGAGATGTATTGGGAGAAATAGACAAAAAACTGTACTTGAAAAATAACTAAATAAAATTAAAAAAAAAAAAGAGAGATGTACTAACTTCCTGCCAAACTCCTGCCAACTTCTCTACCAGCTTCCTGCTTTCTATTGGCTGGAATGGAGGTGGGATGGCTGGAGCCCCAGCAGTTATCTTCGATCAAGAGGTGGATGTTCCAGTGGTGAACCAGGCAGAGCAGCACCTGCCGGGGCCCTGACACTCCCAGGATTGCCTTTTTCAGACAGCATTCATTTCTGTCTAATTCAAGCCTCCAGCACTTGGTATTCTCCATGCCCTGTAGCCAATCCTAATCTTAACTGATGCATTAATGTAAAGCGCCTGTGACATGACTCCCTTTGTTAATTGCCTACAATGATTTTCATCCATATTTGTAAAGAAGAATAAGAAATATGTCCTGCCGCCCTGGCTGGTGTAGCTCAGTAGATTGAGCATGGTCCTGTGAACCAAAGCGTTGCCAGTTCGATTTCCAGTCAGAGCACATGCCTGGGTCATAGGCGAGGTCCCCAGTAAGGGGCACAAGAGAGGCAACCACACACTGATGTTTCTTTCCCTCTCTTTCTCCTTCCATTCCTCTCTCTCTAAAAATAAATAAATAAAGTCTTAAAGAAAATAAATAAATATGTCCTGCCTTTGAGAAGTTTACTACCCCATTGGAGGAGTCCGCAGGCCTGTACATCTGGTCCCAGTCAGCCATAGGCAAGCAGCCTTGCCTCTCTGAGTGGCAGCTGCTCCAGTCCTGAAAGGAGAGAATTGGGCCCTGGCCAGGTAGCTCAGTTGGTTAGGCTACCCCAATGTGCTAAGGTTGTCCCAATGTGCTAAGGTTGTGGGTACAATCTCTGGCTGGGGCACATACAAAAATCAATCAATCAGTGCATAAATAAATGCAACAACAAATCAATGTTTCTCAAATCAATAAAATTTCTTTAAAAGTTTTCAGAATGAGAGGACTGCCCCCCCCAAATCTCCAGGAGTTTGAAGAGCAGAGGGTTAGGCATATCACAAAAGTCAAAATAGATAAAACATGAAGAACAGGGAGATTTGGGTGAGCAAAAGAAAGGCCTTCAGGTGAAGGACAAGGTGGGTCCCTCCTGGTTCCTCTGTTGCAAGTGACAGAAACCAACACCACCTGATCTAGTAGTGCACAGAAGGCAGATTTATCAGCTCATGGAAGGGACACCCAAGAAATTCATCTCCCTCATCTGACTCCCAGACTCCACATCAGAGAGACTGTCCATTTCAACACCCCACTCCGGACCCATTTTAGTGGTAGGAATTGTTTTGGTCGCAAGTGGCAGAAACCCCCTCCTGAGCAATCAGAAAGCAACAACTGGCTTCCTACATTAGGCCTGGAGTGAACTCCAGGGGTGGCTAAATCCAAGGATTTGAATTCTTCCTGCAAGATTCAGTCTCTCTCTTTCTCGGCTCTGCTTCCTCCAGGTTGGCTCCTTCTCAGGTAGGCTGACGGGTTCAGTCACCAAGGCCAGGCCCCTGCCCCATCACACAGTGAGACGGGACAGCTAGTACCTCCAGCGAGAGACCCTTTCAGGGCATAGAAGTGAGGTCTGGCTCCGAGAAGGGTAGGGGGTGTCTGAAAAGGCTTTGTAAAAGTGAGGCCAGTTGGGAGGGGCACAGGAGCATGAGATGAAGATGCCAGCCCGTGGGGGAAGTGCATTCCGGGCAGAGGACCACAGTGCAAAAGCACACAAACTCCTGCGGTTTGGAGCTGCCAGGCTATTGGGTGCTTGGTGGGAGCAGAAGCAGACGAGGCCACGGAGGTAGCTGGAGCCTGAACATGAAGAGCTCTGGATGTCAGGCTGAGTGTTTTGGGCTCTGTCCTGCAGGCCGTGGGAGCTATGGGAGGATTTAGAGCACGGAGGGACCACAGTCACATTTTCCTCCCTTAGTGACGAAGTGGAAGGTGAATGGTAGCAAGGAGAAAAACTGGAGGCAGCCTGAAGATGAGGGAGGGGGGTGCTGCGTCACCATCCTGCACCAGCTGTGTGGCCCAGGGACGGTCAAAGAATTTCTGGAATCAAATTGACAGGATTGAAATACGGAGGGTGAGGAGCCCGGGACTAGGGAATTCTGGCACCTACTCCAGTGATGTGGCTTCAAGCAAGAGCTGGTGAGTCCCCCAGCTCTTCGCAGCAGGCAGGAGAAACTAGTGTTGCCACCTCTGGGGACTGGAAGACCCATCAAGTCTTTGTAATTCAAAGCCGCCAGTTCTTGGATGCCTCCAGGGATGAGCAGCTTACCTCTTCCATAGTTCTGACCCAAATAAACCATGAACTCAAATCTACCCCTTTAGAATTAGGCACCGCTCGGTGGTGCCTGGAGGGCTTCCTGTACATGGGGCCAGCCCTTTAAAACTCAGCATTTGACGCTGTCTCCTTAAGTCTCTCCTTTCCCTGTCTCAACACCTTTGCTCCCTCTGATCATGGGACAAGGACCCCCGAAGGTCCTGGGCAGGATGCAGGTTTACTCAGACACTGAGTACCCATCCACAGAGGGAGAAAGCCGGCCCCATCTTCCTGTCTCTCTGACTGCATCCAAGAGAGTCCCCCGGGTGCCAGGGCATCTTAAATTCTTAGATGTCAGCTCCTGCTGGGGCTGAGGCCACAGCAGGCTCTGGTGAGAACCTAACGATGCTGTGAGCTTCCACTTTGGCTATCTTCAGGTCCAATTCCTATTTCTGGCAAGCGAACATGGTTTGCCATGTGTGATGGGACTTCATCACCTGGTGGAATGCCAACTGCAGAATCCCAGCCCCATGCTGGCGAGTGGGAGGGCGGGGGGGGGCGTCCCACAGGTCCCTGGAGGAGCTGTTCTGAGACTCCTGGGACTCTCAGGGGGTTGGTGGAGCACAGGGGGCCCTTCCTCAGCAGGAATGTCCCCAGAGGACCCTCTGTGCACACACTACCACCACTGATAAATCACACCGCCAGGCAGGAAAGGGCTACTCTCCCAGCCTCTCTCCTGGCCCACCTCTCTTGCTGGGGACAACCTCGCTGCCGGTTGGAGGGTTCCCTTCTGGAACTTTCCCCACCAATGTACTCTCTCCTCCTCTCCTATATAACAAAACTGGGATCATGCCGTTTGCACTGTGTCCCACCCTGGTGGCGGTGGTTTTCAACAGCTGTGGATTTTGTCACCTTAATACACAGTTCCCTGGTTTTTGTCATATCATATTCCACAATATGGATATTCTGTGATTCTAAGAACTGGGCCACTGTTCCCCGAAATCCTGTGGTGCTTTGGAAGCATAGCCCCTAAACCTTTTGGGGTAGCAGAAGGTCAATACAAGACCGATGCCGTCTGGGCACCTTGGTTCATTGCCCTCCCCAGGTCAGCTTCCTCGTTGACCAAGTGGATCCCTGCGTTAGAAGGATCGGTAAGGGAGGCCACGGAGGTCTCGTGTGGACACCTCCAGTTCCACATGATCCTTTCCTGGGGCTGGGGCTGGGGCTGAGGGGCTGGTGCCCAGTGCCCTGGCCATCCAGGGCTCATCCAGCTGTCCTCTGAGGAGGACAGTGCTGCCTGGCCCTACAGCGGATGAAAGGGAGGCCAAGTGAGGGGCAGTCCTGCCCAGGGCACAGCTGGGTTAACCCTGCGTCAGGCCCCACATTTACTTTCTAACAGAAGGCTGCTCCACCTGGAGACCTTCAGCTCCACAGGATTTATTCCTGGGAGCCCCAGCTTTCCCTTAATGATGATGATGATGATACTGACACAGAGGTGAACATTTTGGGGGTGCTTTCTCTGCACCAGGCACCAACAGCCCTCTACAGCAACAGGTGATTAGTTAAATGAGTCCCCGTTGGCAGAGCAGGTGAACGAGGGCGTTGGAATGCCGAGTCAGAGGGTCCACTGTGTTGCCTGAGCTCTGCGGCTTGCTTACCTCCCCGACAGGCAGCTCACTCGCGCACCCCCCTTTCCTCGCATGCTGCGGCACCTGCTCCACGCTCCAAGGCCTCTGCTTCTCAGGATGGGCAGGGGGCCGTGTGCTCGCCCCGAGGCTCCAGGCCAGGAAGCGGCAAGAAACCCCTGAGAACCTCCGGTTCCCCACCCGGGAGGGCCGGGAACTGCGGAGGCGGGGCAGGGAGGGGCTGGCGGCAGCGCGCAGAGCACACCGCAGTGCGACCGGCGCTAGGACCCGCGAGGGCCTTCAGGCCGCGGCGTCTCCTGCTTCCCCCACCCCAACACCACCCCCCCCCCCCGCCCAAAATGAGGAAACGGAGGAACTTGCTCCAAGTTGTGCAGACGGGGCAGCCTCGGGGTGCGCAGCCAGGGCGCGGGGGCCCTCCTGGGGGCGGGTGCGGAGCGCGGCCCGGAGACGCCCCCTGAACAGGTAAGCGGGCAGTGGGGATGTGGGGAGAGATCGCGGGGCGTGGAGAACCGGAGGGCTCCGGGGAGGCTCAGGCTTGCGTGAGAGGAACTGGTGTGCGCTGAAGTATATGCGTCCGGGACGCGTGGCGGCGGGTATGAGGCTGGGGTGGGGACTGTTAGAGGCTTTCAGGCGCGGGTGGGGGGTATTTTCCTGGGTGGGAGGTGTGCACGTCTGCGAGTGCCTGGGTGTGTGTACTCGCGCGTACACGTGGAGGGATGTGCGCGTGTGACCGAGATGCGTGTGCCCGGCCCTGCATGTAGCTCTTCGTGTCTGGGTGGTCCAGCGTATGGCGCCCAGGTGTTCAAATGTGCTTCTGTATGTGTTGGGATGGGGGTGGACAGATAGGTTTCCAGATGTCTGAGCATCTGTGTGTGTGTACACACTTGTAGACGCGTGTGCACACCTATCTCTAGGGGGACGTGCCTTTGCTTGCATACCTGCGTGCCTGTGGGTACCTGTGTCCACCTGTGTCCAAGTCCCATGTGTTTCTCTGTGTGCTCGTGTGTACATGGATCAGTATGTGTGTGCGTACATGTAGGGCTGGGAATTTATAAGGACGCACACCGAAGGGGCAGAGACTCACCCCGGAACAAGTCCCACTGCCCAGCCACCTGTGGTGGGGTCAGTGGGGATGTGGGGGTGGAAAAGTCCCCGCCCAAGCAGCAATGGGGGTCTCGTGTGTCCGTCCTCTGGTGGGGTGGGGTGAGGGGGGAAGGTTCAGCTAGCCAGCCAGATGAGCACAGCAGGGCGGCACCGTCCCACCGCAGGGCCAGAGTTTCTTGGGGATGACCTTGAGTCATTCTGTATTCGTCTTGCTCCTGCCTACTCACCAAAAAGAGGAAGAACAAGGCTTGATTAGGTGGCACCAAGCTCCCCATTCACCATGTGGGCTACTGGGGCCTGAGCCAGGTGTCCCCCTCCCCAGCCTGTGACCACTTGCTCTGTGTCCCTTTCTGTCCTCAGTTTCCCTTGGGGAACAGCGGTGGGGCTGGGCTCCGTGGTTTTCTCACTGATGTTTCATGGCTTTGAAGGAACTCCCCGGGGAAAGGCCACCTTCCCAAAGGGCCTGGAGAACCAGTGTCTGGGACTCCCCCTGGGGCTGCCCCTGGCTCTTGCCTCCGCCTGGCCTGGGCTGGTGGTGGTGGTGATGGCCCCAGGGCTCTGGCTTGGCCTGAATCTCCAGCTGGTCTCTGCCTCCCCCCCCAGGTGAGCCCTCGTGTTCTCCACGCCGGGCACCCCTGCCCATCCAGCCAGGATGCCCACAGTGAGTACCTCCAGCCTGGGTTCCTGGGTCCTTGGCCCTTCCTCAGCTCAGTCCACACCCACAGGGCCTGGGCTCCATGGGTGGGGGGTGTGTAATTCTCTGACCCAGGTCCCCTTTAGCTGGTGTCTTCCAGTCTTTCTCTGTCACTCGGTGTTGGATCTCTTTCACCTTTTTTTCCTGACCTGTTTGAGTGTGTTCTGTTTGTGACCAATGTATCCCTGCTGGCTGCTCCCTTCCTTGTCTTCTCTCCTCTTCTCCACCTTCCTTGTGTTTTCTCTGTCTGTCCAATCTCTCTCTGGGGGAGGGCACCTCCTTCATGCCTCCTTTGGCCCTCTCCCCCATGCCTCCCACCCAGAGGCGCTGGGCCCCAGGCACCCAATGCATCACCAAGTGTGAGCACACGCGCCCAAAGCCTGGAGAGCTGGCCTTCCGCAAGGGCGACGTGGTCACCATCCTGGAGGCTTGTGAGGTGAGCTGTGACCTGAGGGCCTAGGTGTGTTTGGGGATGGGACTCTTCCAGGAATAACCCGCCCTCCCACCATACTGACCCCTGGCTCCCTCCCTGGCAGAGCAAGAGCTGGTATCGAGCCAAGCACCACACCAGTGGGCAGGAGGGGCTGTTGGCGGCTGGCGCGCTTCGGGAACGCGAAGCCCTCTCAGCTGACTCCAAACTCAGCCTCATGCCGTGCGTTGTGGGGTGAGCACTGAGATGGGGGTTCAGGAGGGCTTGGCCAGCTGGGCCCAACCCACCCTCCTGCCACTGCAGGTGGTTCCATGGGAAGATCTCGGGCCACGAAGCGGTGCAGCTGCTGCAGCCGCCGGAGGATGGGCTGTTCCTGGTGCGCGAGTCAGTGCGGCATCCTGGCGACTACGTGCTGTGCGTGAGCTTCCTGCAAGAAGTGTTCCACTACCGCGTACTGCACCGCGACGGCCACCTGACCATAGATGAGGCCATCTGCTTTTGCAACCTCATGGATATGGTGGAGGTGCACCTAGACCCTGGACCCTGGAGCTGCTTGTCCCCCAGGCCCCACCCCATCCCAGCTGTAATGACATAGGGACCCACAGGGCCACAGGCTCCCCACTGCGGAAAAGGAGCTGGTCCCCATGGACCACCCACCATAGAGCTGGTCGGAGCCCTCCAGGTCCCACCTGCAAGGACTGGGTAGCTCCTCCAGGGACCTCCAAGTTGACAGCAATCCAGAGGTGGCCCCCATCCTTTCCCATTCTCAGGGAAACCAGCCCAATGCATCCTGAGGGAACCAAACCCCTCTCCTTACAAGCTCATGTCCACCTCATCCAGAGCCCACCCCCAGGAAGGGGACAAGATGCGAGGGTGCCCCTGCTTAAAGGGGTCCGACTCACAGCCACTCTGCCCACCCTACCCTGCAGCATTACAGCAAGGACAAGGGGGCCATCTGCACGAAACTCGGGAAACCCAAGAGGAAGCAGGGGACCAAATCGGCAGAGGAGGAGCTGGCCAAGGGTAGGCGTCTGCGCCCTCTCTGCCCACATTTGCCCCACCCAAGGAGGGAGCGCCCAGGCCTTGGCACAGGGCCGAGGCCACAGCACCTGTGCCTGGCACAGTGCCTGGCGCTGTAGTGGAAGGCCCAGGCAGCCCCTGGGTCAGGCAGGGGACACCCATAGATGCCAATCAGCCCCAAATTGAGTGGATTGCCACACCTGCTGCTTCTCCCTTGTCCCCACCATCTGCCCTGTCCCCTGAGCTGGAAACCTGGCCAAACCTCGAACCTCGAACCCCCACCCTCCCACATCCCTTCATGCTGCCTTCCAGCCTGGCCTCAGACCCTCCCGTCAGACCACCTCCTTCCAGGGGGGCAGTTCCCCTTCCTCCTGACCCTGCTCCTGTGCCCCCAGAGGCAACCTGCTACCTGAAAACCCCCCACATTGCTACCCTGCATTAAGAAGAAAGACCCTGCAGCTCCGATGCCTTCCAGAACTTCCCCTTGTGGCTGAGAACTTCTTTCCTTCCGTATCTACACGGTCCCTCCTCCATTCACAAACCCCCCTGGTTGTGACTCATTTCCTCTAATGTGTCCAGTCTGTTGTGTATTCTGTTCATTTCACCCGAAAGGCTTTTCCCGCCTCCTCGTAGTGAAGTCATCAGTACTGAAGTCCTGAAGCAAAGGTCCCCAACCTTAGCCATCCCCACAGTCTTTTGAACCTGATGATTCTGGCTGTCTCTTTGGAAGCATGTGTTCGTCCTGGGAAAACCTGGACACCTTGGGGATGGCACCTGGGTGGAGGCCAGCGTCACCTTGCCTGACTGTGCCTAAGGGTTCCTGATTTAGAAAGGGAAGAGGCCTCCAGAGCCTGCTAGAGGGGAAGGCGGGGCAGAACACTGGCCTGCTTGAGACAGGGGGTCAGGGAGGCCGAGCAGATTATGACATACATAGAGTACTGGAAATTTTCTAAAGATTCCAGGAGGTTTACTGATCTCTATGTCTGGGTTTTTTTTTTTTTTTTTTTTCTGTGTGTATGTCCCTGGGAGGCCAGAGGTAAAGCATTGTAAAAGGAAGAGCCCTCGGGGAATTGGAGGGACGCAGTCTCCAGGTAGAAGAGACACACAGCCCCTAAGGGTAGGCTGTGTTGCCTTCCACCGGATGATAACCGGTCTGAGGAGCGAGGTGCCTCAGACATGCCCTTGGACTGTGGCTGGGAACAGCGGCCTCCAAATGTGTGCCCGCAGCTGGGTGCTGTGGGAGACACCACCTGGTCTCTCCAGGTGGTACCCTGGATGGGAGGGGCTGGGAAAGCCTGTTACCCCTCTGACCAGGTCTTTGCCTCGCAGCTGGCTGGTTACTGAACCTGCAGTATTTGACCTTGGGAGCACAGATCGGAGAGGGGGAGTTTGGAGGTGAGTGGGGGCGTACGCTGGGGACGGCTGAAGGAGGTGGGGCGTTCAGGATTTGGAACCACTGAGATGAATTCACATTCACATTTAATACCTACTTGCTGGGCGGCTGAAGACAAACCATTCCACTCTCTGAGTCTCAGTTTCCTGCTCTGGGAAAGGGGTTGACAACAGCTGTCATGAGGAGCGAATTAACTCAGGTGGGCGTCCAGCCGACGTGAGTCCCTCACACTTTAGGCTCTTGCACATACTGGTCTCTGCTTGGAATGCCATTTCCTAAAATCATTATTCTGGAAGGTTCTGGGGCTCAGATCTGCTGTCTTTCTCTGTAAGGGGCCAAAGTGCAAATATTTTTGGCCTTATAGGCCAGTCTGTCACGTCACTCAGTTGTGTGTGTAACAGAAAAGCAGCCACAGGCAACTGGGAAACCAATGGGCGTGGCTTCATGGCAACAGAACTTTATCAGTGGGCACCAGGTTTTGTATTTTCTATAATTTTCATGTGTCATGAAATAACATTCTTTTGATTTATTTTAGATTTTATTTGTTTATTTTTAGAGAGAGGGGAAGGGAGGGAGAAAGAAAAGAAGAGAAACATCAATGTGTGGTTGCCTCTCACACGGCCCCCACTGGGGACCTGGCCCACACCCAGGCATGTGCCCTGACTGGGAATCAAACTGGTGACCCTTTGGTTCATAGGACAGTATTCCATCCCCTGAGCCACACCAGCCAGGGAGCTTTTGATTTTTTTTAAAAAGCCATTTAAGAATATAAAACCACCCTGCCGGGTAGCTCATTTCTTTGGAGCATCGTACCGTACACCAAAGGGCTGAAGGTTCCATTCCCAGTCAGGGCACATACCTAGGTCGCAGGTTCAAGCCTTGGTTGGGGCACATATGGGAGGTAGCCAATTGATGTTTCTCTCCCTTCCTCTCTCTCTTAAACCCTCAGGTGAGAATTTTAAAAAAAAAAGTAAAAATCACTCTGAGCTCATGGGCCTTGCCAAAAAACATGATTGGACTGGATTTGGCCCTAGACCAGAGTTTATAGACCCCTAGATTTTCTTTGATCAGGGGTTTGGAGCTTGTATGGGCAAGGGGGTTTCCAGGGCTGGGGGACACAGGCCTGGAGCTAGTGTACATGGGGGTGTGAGTGGGTATGTCCCCGTGACTGTCCCCATCTCTGCTGCGTCCTGGTCCGCATCCCACCCCGCAGCGGTCCTGCAGGGCGAGTACCTGGGCCAGAAGGTGGCCGTGAAGAACATCAAGTGCGATGTGACGGCCCAGGCCTTCCTGGATGAGACAGCAGTCATGACGTGAGTCCTTGGTGGGGGTCAGCAGCACTGGGGCGGGAGGTTCTGGCTGTGCCTTCACCCCCACCTGTCCCCCGCAGGAAGATGCAGCATAAGAACCTGGTGCGTCTGCTGGGTGTGATTCTGCACCAGGGGCTCTACATCGTCATGGAGCATGTGAGCAAGGTATGGTGGGGCTGGGGTGCAGGCAGGGCCTGGGGGGCCGCCAAGAAGCCTCAAACCCTAGTCCCATGTCCCCCACTGCCGCAGGGCAACCTGGTGAACTTTCTACGGACTCGGGGCCGGGCCCTTGTGAACACCCCACAGCTTCTGCAGTTTTCCCTGTGAGTACGGCCCTTGGAGGGCAGGGAGGAAACTTTCCAAGGTCAAGGGGAAACCAAGGCACAGAGCAAAAAGGAGTCTGGCCTTGGGAGTTTTTGACCTGGCCACCGGAGCCCCTGTGCCCCTCCCCCTCCCCAGGCACGTGGCCGAGGGCATGGAGTACCTGGAGAGCAAGAAGCTGGTGCATCGAGACCTTGCTGCCCGTAACATCCTCATTTCTGAGGACCTGGTGGCCAAGGTCAGCGACTTTGGCCTGGCAAAAGCTGAGCGGAAGGGGCTAGACTCCAGCCGGCTGCCAGTCAAGTGGACGGCGCCCGAGGCGCTCAAACATGGGGTGAGTGCCCCTCTGTCCCCAGGGACCTTGGAGCCTCAGCTCCACTGTGTGATCCTGGGCATGTGTCTTGGCCTCTCTGAACCTCCAAAGGAAATGGCTCTGCCTCCCCAGTGAGTACTTGGCCCGTAGTTGTTCTTTTTGGTGCCCATCTTCTCTCTCCTGTGTGTGACCCTGTCTGGGCCTCAGTTCCCCCATTTCTGGACTGAGTGCTGAGGGCAAGAATAGCCGACCTCCTTCCTTCCATGAGTCTGAGCTCCACCCAGTCGAGGGGGCACAGACTTGGGGGTTGGAGTCTGCTAGGAAGGGACCAGAGTGAAGGACAATCCAGGGGGGACTTTCTGGAGGAATCAGGGACTGGAGCCGAAACCCTGAAGGGTCCCTCCTTACCCTGGTCTTGGGCCCCACAGAAATTCTCCAGCAAGTCCGATGTCTGGAGTTTCGGGGTGCTGCTCTGGGAGGTCTTCTCGTATGGCCGTGCTCCATACCCCAAGATGGTGAGCATGGTCTGGGTGGGGGAGGCACTGCGTCTGGGACGGTGGTGCTGAACCCCAGCCCTCACTGGTGTGCTCTCTGCCCACAGTCGCTGAAGGAGGTGACAGAGGCTGTGGAGAAGGGGTATCGCATGGAACCCCCAGAGGACTGCCCGGGCGCTGTCCACACGCTCATGAACAGCTGCTGGGAGGCGGAGCCCACCCGCCGGCCACCTTTTCGAAAACTGGCTGAGAAGCTGGCCCGGGAGCTGCGCAGCGTGGGTGCCACTGGCCATGTTGAAAGGCAGGATGCTGATGGCCCCACCTTGCCCTGTGGCCAAGAGTCTTGACACTGCCTGGTGGGCCACGGGCCCCAGAAGATCAAGAGAGTAGGGGGCTCAGGGTGGGGACACAGGCAGGCCTAAGGAGGGTCAGGGCCAGCAAGCTGCCCACCTGGCTCACAGCACAAAGCAGGCCCTCCTGGGGGGCTTAGGGCAGTCCCTGGCCACCACAGACCTGGGGAGAAGGATTAGTACATCGATAAAGACTGGTCCCAAGAACTGTGGGCATCTGAGTCTCTCTCTGCGACCCCCAACACCCTCTCAGCCAGGGGGTGCACACTGTCCTCCATCATCCAGTTCTGGACAGTCCACCTGCCAGTCGTCTGCCCAGCCGCAACCCAGTGGCAGCCACTGTGGGGATGCAGACCCATGGAATGGAGCGGAGACTCCAGGCCAGGGGCCACAGCCATCTGTGCACCCACTGCCATCACCCACAGGTCCCCACTTTGGTCCACTGTGGGTGCCACATTCAATCCTCAAAGTTTCAACCTCTGGGTGGGTGCCCAACCCTTGGGGTCCCAGACACAAAGGACTATGGGAGACTTGTCCCTCAGAGCAGGTGCACTGGAGCCCAGGGAGGCTCTGCCGCTGCAGCTGTGTCCCTGTGGGGGATGTTCCAGTGTGGCCACCACATTCTCCAGCTGTCACAGCCCAACAGCCTGACCCAGTGACTCCAGAGGAGACTCAAGAAAAGCCAGCTGAGCTCTGACCAAGTGATTCACTTGGTTGGAGCATCATCTTCTGCACCAAAAGCTTATGGGTTCGATCCCTGGTCAGTACATAAGGGAGGCAGCCAATGGGTGTTTCTCACAGCGGTGTTTCCCTCTGCCTTTCTCTTTCAAAAAAAAGGTCAACGCACATATCTTCGAGTGAGGATTAAAAAAATAAAAGCCCCCTGAACAGCCTGTTCCAAGGCTCCTCCCCTCTTGTCCAATTGGGTGAGGGGGGCTGGGCTCTGGGCTTGCTGCCAGGTTTGAATTCCCACTTGCCCCCTAGCTGTGTGGCCCGGGGGGCAGCCTCAGGCAAACCAGTGGGGCTGGTTCCCCTACTTGGGCTCACGGATCTCCTCTACTATCAGGCACCTTGGTGAGGCGGGATGGGGGGTGGAAGGGCCCAGAGAGGGGAGTAAGTGAGGGGCCAAGTGCAGAGCTGGTGCTGTGACTCAGCCACCCCATCTCAGTCCATAGTGTTCTCCTGGCAGCCTCCAGAGTGTCTGGAGGGGGTCTTGGGCCAGGCTGGATGCTGTCGTTTAAGGAACGACAGGGCCTCCCAAGCTGGGGAGGGGACACCAGGCCTGAGCACACCCTATCACCTCTGCTGACCCACCCTGCCTGAAATGGCCCTGAGCTAGACAAATGCCCAAAGGTCACAGTGACCTCCTGAAGCCTGACCCACATCCTGGCCTCAGTTTTCCCACAGCACCTGAAGGGGTTCAGTGATTCCTTCTGGGGGAGAAACTGGAGGCTGGAGCAGCAGTGGCCTGCGTGTGTGCATACACACACAGCCGCCCTGCCGACTGATAGAGCCGGAGGGGCCGCCTGTCTTTGGGTCCGGCCCCATCCTGCCCCTAATCCGGCCCTCTAAGCTGACACAGCGTCTGCACCTTCAGCCACATCCTGCTAAATCTTGAAAGCCTCCTGCACCTGACTCAGATCCCTCCTCGCCTGTGGCTTCTTAACTGGTGGGGCCAATTAGCTAATTGGGGCCTGAGAACTGAGCAGCTTTTTAACGTTTTGAAGGGATGAAGTAATTAGGGGAATTACCTGCCTGCCCCTTAGGCCTGGCTGGCTCCCCCTGGCCACAGAGCCCAAAGCGTGCCTTATAGTTGGGGTAGTTGCGGCCTGCAAGGAACCAGGAAGCACTAGCCGCCCCTCCAGCCTGGGCTCAGGACATCTGCGGCCTCCCCAGCCTCCTGACCCCACCCCGCCCTCACAGGACAGTGGGGCTCCAGCTGGCCCCTCCTCTATAGCGGCCGGTTCCTCAGGGGTCTGGGCCTTCTCTGGGTGTATGTGCATGTGTGCGCGTGCGCGTGCCTGCCACTGTCTCTGTCTCTTTCTCCATGTGTGTCTCTCTCCCTGCAAAGCCAACCTTCCAGAAGGATCTATCTCTACTTTCTCTTGGACTTGTTCCCCAGGCCATCTGAGGACCTGTGTCTCCCCCACCTGGACAATCTCCCTGCATTAAATCCAGCAACCTGTTTTCGGGCCTCACTTTGGCCCCCCAGCCCCAGCCCCTTCCTCTTGATTTTCAGAGCACCCCGACTGAGCCACCAGGCTTCTTGGATTGGGGGGTTGGCAAACCAGTCTGAGTCTTCCCTTAGATCCTGTTCCAACTCTTGGGCCACCACCTCTGTGACAGTCCCATCATCCACCTGTCCCCAAAACAGGGACAACTCCTCCCTCCTCCCTGAATCCCCCCAATTGATTTCCTGCCCCCACTCCTCACCATGCCCTCTGCCCTAGCTCTTGCCCCCTTCCCGCCTCCCATCTCACTCACAACAAGTTCTCATCCAAAATGCCACCGGACTGTGCCCCTTCCCTGCCCCACAACCTCCCATGGTTCCCTAGCACCTTCCCCTTCATACCCGAATCTTGTCCAGAACTTGCAGCCTCACCCTCTGTCCCTCATTCCGATCACTTTCCTTAAACGAGCAGCTCCACCTTCGATGCCCTTCCCTCCCTGCTCCGGGTTTTCTTATTGGACCTCTGATCACCAAACACTGCATTTTACCCACATAGCTGCTGACTGTCCCCCCAGCCAGGACATCAGCTCCCAGATTTGTGTTTTGTTCACTGGTATATGTTAAGTGCTCAGTAAATGTTCATTCATACCTCAAAACTCAGCTAAAATGCCCTCTCTGCCATGCCCCGTTCGGTGTCCAGAGAAGCCAACTAAGATTGCCTTCACCTCTCAGGCTGACACCCAGCCCCGCTGACATCTGTGACCCTGAGAGGGTCTTTTGTGCCCCTCACTGATTAAAGCAACCACAGGCCTTCACCGAGCACCCTCTGCACCCACCACTGAGCAGTGCCTTCCTTTCGTCACCTCGTTGAGCCCCAGTGAGAGCCCCACAGGACAGGTTCCAGTGTCCCTGTTTTACAGCCAGGGACATAGGCCCGGAGACAGGGAGGCCCTTGTTGGCATCCTACTGCAGGGTGGGGGTGTGGGGGGAGGACCCAGGTCAACAGTACCCCCTTAACCCCCAGCCCTCAGCCTGCTTGGCCCTCCCTCAGGGGCTCAGGGCAGCCACTTGAGAGAGGCCACCTCAATTAATCACCTTGTGTTAATCCTCCCCCACCCGACCCCACCCCCTCGGGGCTGGCTGGGCCAGGCCACTGGGCCAGCTGAGGTGGAAGCCCCGTGGATACCTGGGCTGAAGAGGGGCTGCTAGGAGCGGTAAGCGTTGGGCAGGTGGGCAAAATGAGCCTCGGGTGGGGGCTGTAGGTGCAGAGAGCCCACTAGGGCTGAGGACTTGGTGGTAAGGAAGCATTACATGGGAGCAGTGTCCCAGCCTGCTTTCCTAGACCCAGAGGGAGACAATCAGAAAGACGGAGATGTGGGGAGAGAGTGGCAGTCAGCAGCTCCAGAGGGAAAGAGAAAATAGAGGCTGGGGGACAGAGACACAGGAAAGAATCAGAGAAGGGGGTGGAGACAGGGAGATAGAAAATGAGATAATCCGAAATCAACAGAGAGAGACTGGGGGAGGCAGAATGAATGCAGGATGTCAGGAGGGAAAAGCCCCTTCACATCTTACCCTGGACCCAGCAGGCTCCCCTGCCCTCCCCAGCTGACAGTCCCTCCTGCTGTCCTACCACCATCTGTCCTGCTGCTGTGCTGCCAGGTGGAGGTGAGGGGAGCCATGTTCCTGAGCCCTGGCGAGGGGCCCGTGGCTGAGAGTGGGGGGCCAGCACCCTGTGAGGAGACCCCCAAGAAGAAGCACCGCAGGAACCGTACCACTTTCACCACCTACCAGCTGCACCAGCTGGAGCGGGCATTCGAGGCCTCCCACTACCCCGACATTTACAGCCGTGAGGAGCTGGCAGCCAAGGTGCACCTGCCGGAGGTGCGTGTGCAGGTAAGGGCGCCCCTCAATGACTTAGGCAGGAAGCCAGAGCTAGATAGGGACCTTCCCAGTGCCTGGGTAGAAGAGAAACTGGGAAGCCACCTGGAGGAGGGGATGTGGGGCTGGGGCTGTGACTTCTGAATAGGAGTTTGCCAGCAAGAAAGAGTGTGTTTCTAGGCATCCAAACAGCATGTGCAAGGGTGTGCAGGGTCACAGTAGAGGGGCTTCCACTGAGCTGGGTGAGAGATGGGTGGAAGGAGAGGCAGAAAATGAAGGGGAGAAGGAACCTGTGAGAGGATTCGACAGCCAAGCTGAGTGACTTGCACTTCATGATGAAGGCCAGGAAAGATCAGGGAGGAGGCTAAGGGGGCCCAGGAGGCCAAGGGGACTGGTTAAAGAAAATGACGAGGTGAATTAGATTCAGGAAAGACTTAGAGGCTGATGTGATGGGGGCCATGAGGCAGGGGTTCTTCTCACAAAATGGGGGAATAACACGTCGGCACTGCAGCAGGCGGGAGTCAGCTCCGACAGCAGGCAGAGCCCTGAGCTGAGAGCACCCTCTTGCTACTTCCAGGTGTGGTTCCAGAACCGTCGGGCCAAGTGGCGGCGTCAGGAGCGTCTGGAGACTGGCTCAGGGGCTGTGGCAGCCCCAAGGCTTCCTGACACCCCAGCACTGCCGTTCGCCTGCCCTCCAGCCATGCCACTACCCCTGGAGTCCTGGCTGGGCCCTGGGCCGCCCGCCAGGCCAGGCCTCACTCATCTCCTGGGCCCGACCCCGGGCCTGCAGGCGTCCTTTGGGCCTCATGCCCTTGGCTCGGCTTTCATGGAAGGCTTCACCCTGGAGGAGGCGTCTTTGCGGCTGCTGGCCAGGGAGCACGCACAGGCCCTGGACAGGGCCTGGCCACCAGCCTGAGCCCGGTGCCTACACAGCTCTCCCTCTTTGGCCTGTCCCAAGGGCCTGGGATGATAGATATAGGCCAGGATACTGATGAGGAAAGAGACTACCCATCCCCACTCTCCCTGTCCGTGGCCACCCATGGCAGGTCCCCACCCGACCTTACCCTGCCTTGCAGGGAGACTGGGACCCAATCTTGGAAAGGAGGTGACCATAGGATTCCCAGACCAAGGGGTGTGGGGCCCTCGGTGGCCTTGGGGGTTTCTGCCATCCTGGGACCTCGGTGCCCCCATCTATCAAATGGGGGTAGGTGGGTGGGTAGATCTGTAGGCTCTGGGACTGTAAGACTGTAACTGGGAGCCACCAGGACCTTAATTCTGGGAGTCAGTAAGTCTAAGTCCCTGCTAATCTTTCACCAGCAGAGCTGCCCAGCTCTCAAGGCCTCCCTCTCTGGGAAATAACGGCAGAGCAGCTCCAGTCCAGCTGCTTCCTCTCGAGCTGTGCTCCCAGCCAGAGTCCATCAGGTGAGACAGGCACGGCCACCAGCCCCATTTTACAGGAAGGTAACCTGAGGCCCAGAGATGGAAAGTCAGTTTCCTGAGGCCAAAAAGCCAGTAGGGCATGGAGCTGTTTTTTCACACTCACTGACTGACCCCATTACACCAGGCGCAGCTGGGTCCCTGCTGGCTCTGGCAGCAGTTGGACCCAGGCCAGGGCTAACAGGGGACCAGGCAGACGCTAGGTGAATACTGTCTGTCCCTGCTCCCTCCATGTGTCAAAGCGTGGCTTATGTCCCCAATGACCAGAGACTGTCACATCTCCAGCCCAGAGAGGGTGGTACAGGGCCTTTGGTGGCAAGGCCAGCACTTATTCTGTCCAACCCAATCCATTCATTCGTCCCTCCGTCTAGCCAGTAAGCAATAGGGACACAACAGTAAATAAAACCGACAAAAATCCCTGCCCTAATGGAGCTGCCGCTGCAGTGGGAGAGACACGATGCAAAATTTAAAAAATAAATAAAATATAAAATACCAGCTGGTGGTAAATGCCAGGGAGAATGACACAGGGGAGAGCAACCGTGAGTGTGTGGCAGGTGATGCAGTTGTGTGGGGGTCAAGGAGCCCTCGGGGACCTGGAGGAGGCAAAGGAGGGAGCTGTGGGCACCTGAAGAGGGGTGGCCAGGCAACAGGCGTGGCAGGTACAAAAGCCCTGGGGAAGGACCCTGCCAGCGGAGTTGGAGGGACACCGGGGAGCCCGTGGGCAGAATGTGACCCAGGATGGCTATGAAATTGGCCCAATGCAAAAGCATAAATTTACTTAATTTTTTTGTTGTTGTTCATCAGTTTTGATTAGTGTTTGTGTATTTAATGTGCAGCCCAAGACAACTCTTCTTATTCCAGTGTGGTCCAGAGAAGCCAAAAGGTTGGGCGCCCCTGGGTAGAGCGAGGGAGGGGAGAGAGGGAGGGGAACGCAGTGAGGGCATGGGGGCAGGTCAGGAAGGGCCTGTGGTGGTTACAACTTTGGTTTTCACCCTGAGTGTCGTGGGAGGGCTGAGAGGTGACACCTGGCTGGCCACCTGGGACCAGACAGAATTAGCTGTGGGGACCCCACTCTGGCCAGCCAGTGAGCATACGGACCCAGGGGCCTGGAGGGTGGTGCCTGACCCCTACCCCAATCTCTCCAGTTGGTGCCTGCAAGGGCTGGGGTGACCTTATAGGCACTGCTTGGTGGGTCCCCACCCCAGCCTCTTCCAATGGTAGGCACTGGCCTTGTTCCTGGGATCCTCAAGACCCCTCCCTCATGGCCAGGCAGGGTGGGCGTCAGGACCACCTAGAGCTGGGGTTCTCCCTGGGGCTGTGGATCATGTTCGTGGTGCCCCATGTATGCTCCAGGGTATGTTTTCTGGTGAGACCTTGGGTGGACAGGATGGTTGATAGGCCCATGTTCCCGGGCTCAATGAGGGTAAGTCCAATGACCTTGGGAAGAAGGAAAGGGAAGTTCCTTCCATCTGGCTTGGCTTGCTGGTGCAGGAGGTGTCAGCCAGGAGCCCAGCAGCCAACCCCTGCCCTAGAGTACTACCTACTGGAGGCCAAAAGGACTCAGAGATAGAGAGAGCCACACAGTTGAGTACTGAAGCATCTGGATCCCACCATGCCTGAAGGAAGCCCTACCACTAGACATTTCAGTTCCTAAAACTTGCAGATTCTGTTCTGCTTAACACAGCTTCAGTCAGATTTGAGTAAAAAAACCTCCCCCTTGAGAGCTGGAGGCCTCTTGGGCAGTGCTAGGAGGAATTCCAGGAATCAGGGCAAGATCCCCATTGAGGCCTGGGGGTGAAGATGGACCGACAGGAGCCCAGCCAATCGCCAGGAACAACTGTGTCTGAGGAGGTGCCTACCTTCCTGCCACCCACCCCACTTCACTCTGACCCAACATCAGACAACACCCAATGACACATAGGACCTGCCAATGACAACCCTAAGAGGTCTTTATTGGTCCCCAGGACCCTGATCCAGCCTCACTATGAAGGCCACGCAGAATGCAGGTAAGGGAAAGTCTGTTTTCTCCAGGAAAATAGTCTTCTGTGGGGCAGGATGCAGGGGGGTGTCGTGCCCCTCTGAAGTCCTCCTCTAGGGCCTGTCGAGGTCCTTGGCAGGTCAGGGTGCTCTGGCCCTGCCTCTACTAAAACTTTCGGTTCTTGCTCAGCCGGTTGTGGCGCCAGATGTTTTGTTTTCGCAGCAGCCGCCAGTACTCCCGGGTCTCGGGGTCCAGTTCCTCCAGCTTCTTCGGGGGGCCCACATTCATCTGGAACAGCCTGATGGGGCATGGGCAGGAATCAGAACTTCCCATCAGCCCTCTGTAACTGCCAGGTACTTCGGGCAGAGGCAAGCAGAGGCACCGGCAGGACTGGGTCTGGGGGGCTGAATGATCTCAGGGTGGTCCCTCACTTTCCCCAGGCCAGGTATCTGCTATGGAGCAGGGGAACACTCCCATCTCAGTAGTGCTGATGTCTGAGATGGGCAGACACCAAGCCTTCTCCTGCCCCCTGGCCACTGTGCACGCTGTGGGCCTGTAACCCCTCCCCTCCCACTCAACTTTTTGCATCTTCCCCAGCTTTAAGGATTAGCACATGTCAATGGCTTCCATGTCCTGCTAATGCTCTCAGGGCTGAAAGCAAAATCCAAATTCCTGCAGCCCCCAGGCTCTACCAGGACTGGACTCTATGACCTTCCTGTCTAATCTACCCCTACTATCCACCTCATTCCCTAAAAACTGGGTTTAGTCCTACCCCAGGCCCTTTGCACTAGCTATTCCCTCTGCCACTGAAGCTCCTTTCACCCACTCAGGCTCATGCATCACCTCCTCAGAGAAATCCTCCTAGAAACCTCATATTTGACCAACCAGGCTCTTCCTCACCCCATGACTGGTTTTCCCCCCTCTCCAGCCTGGCCCACTCACCACTCAGGGTACTCAGCATCCGGCTTCAGGACTACGTCCTGGCCTTCCTTGTAAATGTTGACGCCCATGGCATGAGTAGTAAGCCGCACAGGGTCTGTGCACACCTCTGGGTCTTTCAGGGCATCACTGACCACACCGCCTTTGCCGCCTTTGCTCCCCTTAATGACTGGGGAGCAGGGATAGAGTTAGTTCAGCTTGGTTCAGCCTTCCAGAAGCCGACCTTCCTTTCCTGCCCCCTGCCTCTCAGGGTGGCCCCAGGCCCTGGCTGGCCTCTGTCTACTGCACTCAAAGGACTCTAAGTTGGAGGTGACTACTGCATTAAACACCACTGATGTTGAGTGACGGAGTCACTCTTTTTCAATTCTATTCTCTTTCTGTTTACCTCACAGAGAAGGTGCTATGTTTCCAAGACCTAACATTTATTTGTCAATTCTCTCTTTTCAACAAAGATCAGGCAAGGCTGTAGCCAGCTTAGATTCAAATAACCTTCTTTTGGTTTTGCTTAAGTGGTTAATACTTAGATGTGCCCCACGGCATCCTTAAATTTCTGGTGACTTGCCAAAGTTGCGCAGTGACCTAAGGGCAGAAATAGGATCGGGATGCAAGTTCCTGAACTACCCTCACCCACCCCAAAACAAACCCACGCCTGCGCAGTGAAGTGCGTTTGCTCCACGTAACCTATACGCACGTCACTGGTCACTCAGCTAGAGGCTGACGCCTGCGCACTGACTCCGATCGCGCCCGAAGTTAGGTCCTTCAAACTGCGCCTGCATGTAAAACTTAACTGTATGCCTCTTTACGCTTGCGCCTGGACTCTAAGAACCTCCTCCTCAACCAGCGCCTGTCAGCGCCTGCGCAATACAAACTACCTAATGTCTTCACTCTTCCCACCCTGGTCCCTCTTCGCCCAGCTCACCCGGTTTCTTGGCATAATTCCGTAGAAAGAGTCTTCCTCGAGCTGCAGGGTCCGGGAGCTTCCGAGTCCTGCAGCCGGCGCAGGCCCGGATAGCCCCGAATAAGCTTCTGGCCGCCATGACGTACGCCCGCTGCCTACACGTACACGTTTTCAGCGCCGGGGGCCTTAGGGGCCTAAGGGTTCTTGAGAGACAGAAGCTCCTAGGGGTTCCTGGGAAATGTAGTACTTCAGGTTTAGGCCAGGCTTAGGCTTACATTGTGACATATAAAGCTTTTATAGGTATAACAGTTACTGTATGAAGCGACTTTACAAGGGTGTTTCATTGACTTCTTGCCTTCAGTGAGTTTTTTTTTTTAAGATTATTTATTTATTTATTAACAGGGGGAAAGGGAGGGAGGAAGACATCAACATGTGATTGCGACTCTCTTGGCCCCAACTGGGGACCTGGCCCACCACCCAGGCATGTGCCCCAACTGGGAATGGAACGGGTGACCCTTTGGTTTGCAGGCTGGTGCTCAGTCCACTGAGCCACACCAGCCAGGGCTAGTTATTTACTTTGAAGACCACACATTATGCATTCCTGATTCTATCCAATGTGCAATTACTCAAAGCCTAGAAGTTAATAGAACCTCAAACCTTTTAGTTACTCAAACCTAAAAGTTATTACAAAGCTAACACTTTTTAGACTCATATTCCACCCCAATTGCTAAGCCCTTTAGTGGCTTGATTTTGCTTAATTCTCACAATTATGAGGTATTATCCCTAGTATATCCCTCCAATTACAAGTTTATAATGGAAGGAACCAAGGCTCAGGGAGGAAACGTTAAGCCAAGACGCGCCATCCAACCTCCCTACAATAAGCCAAACTGGGAGTCCGTGTCCTTGCTCTGCTTCTGTTATCCCGCAGTGGAAAGAGGCCATCTATCATTCTCCCTTAGTATTTCCCAGTCCCATATCCTCCCATTTGCCATTCCTTGGAATAACTACCACAGCCTTGGGAGACTGGAAGTGATTATTAGTCCCATTTTGCATTTAAGGAAACAGGCCCAGAGGCCAGTCCAGACTCCCACGCAGCGTATATGGAGGCTTGGGATTCGAACTTATGGTTTCCACACGTAGAGGCCCCTCTGGTCGAGGCGGCTGGGAAGAACTACATTTCCCAGCAGACTCCGCAAGGGCGCGCATGCTCAGAAGGCCGAGAGCGCGGAGCCGATAGATCTGCCGGCGACGATAGGTTGGCCGGCCTCCTGGCCGGGAATGGTGGGCGACCCTGGCCGGGGAGATCTTGCCGGCCCTGGATGTGGGGTCCTGGAGGTCGCGCGGTGAGGCCACCTCGGTTTGGGGAGTGAGTGTCTCGGCAGGGTAGAGCGAGATCTGGGACTGGCGCCTGAGGCTACGGTTCTGAAGTCTCGAATCTTGGGTCTGCCTAAGTATTGGGGTCTTAACTCGTAGCTTTAGGCTTGAGTTGTATTTTCACGCCGGGTCTGAGGTCTGGGTCTGAGTACGGGGTCCATCTTGAGCGTGGCATTGAGGTTATGAGATTATGGTGGGCTTTCTGGTGTCTTGGATCTCTAGTATTAAGTCTGAGGTCCTGGGTCTAAAGTTTCAGGCTGGGTTCTTAAAGTCCGGCGTCTTGGGGACCTGCACCTGTTTGTAAGGGTGTATCTGCAGCCTGGGTACCACGTCGCGGGGGAAGAAGGCTTGGAATAGTAAGGACGGGGGTGAACAGGATCCATAGTGGGGAGAGGTCTGGGGTGACAGGTTCAGGGGGAATCCCTGCGTGTTTCGAGCTCAGAATGCCACAGACTTAAAACTGCTCATTCTGTGCCTCTGTTCTGTCATCTGTAAAATGGGGATCATAGCAGACCCTTCATTGCAGGATATGATGGGATTAAATTGTGTGTTCTATATGAACAGCTCCCAGGTAGCATCTGGCACCAAGTTGGTACAGGGAATCTTTGAATGTCTTTCATATGCTGTTCTGAGCCTGGAGTCCAGGCACTGATTCCTGACAACCCTCCAACCCCTTCCAGGGCCTCCAGCCATGGACTTGGAAGAGCCCAGGGACACACTTGTGTCCTCTCAGGACCTCACCCCTGACTGCCAGTGGGACCCGGTGCCAGGAGACCCACAGAGCCTGAATCAAATGGAATTTGACCGGCCAAATATTCCAGACCTGGTGCAACAGTTTGAGGCTTTGCCTGGTGATCTGGTGGGTCCGTCCCCAGATGGACTCCCCTGCCCCCTGCACATTGCCACTGGTCATGGCCTGGCCTCCCAGGACGTGGCGGATGCCCACGGGCTCTTGTCTGCTGAGGCTGGCAGGGACGACCTGCTAGGCCTTTTGCACCTCGAAGAGTGCCCTCCTTCCCAGTCTTGTCCCAAGGAACCTCCAGACCCTGCTCCTCGCCTGTTGCAGCCCCCTGAGGACCCAAATGGGGATATTGGCCCCTCAGAATGGGAAGAGGGAGCCTCTGCTGAGCAGCGTGACAGCAAGAGCTCGAGCAGCTCCCCAGAACCCTGGTTGGAGACAGTCCCTCTGATTGCTCCTGAAGAGCGGCCTGCCAGTGCCCAGGTAGCGCCTGCCCCAACCTCCAGAGCTGCTCTGCTGCCAGGAGCCACACCAGGGGGACTCAGTCCTGTCCCTCTTCTGTCTTCTCCTAGAGCCCCGAGACTGTGGCTTCATACCCTGCCCTCCAGGAGGGTGAGTGTCCTGCCCACCCTGGCCCCAGGAACCTAGGGGTTTCTGAATCAGGTTCCTGAAATCTGAGTCAAAATTTGCCAGTAAGGGGTTGCTTCTAGAGAGGCCCTAGAAGAATGGTTTTAGGTGGATTCCTGGTATTCTGGAAAAAGAGAGCCTTGGGAATGTTCTAGAATGAGTAGAGGGCAGTAAGGCAGGCTTAGGTATTTGTAGTACGCCATTCTAGCAGGTATTGGCAAATTATCATCTATGGGCCAACTCTGACCTACCACCTGTCCTGGTATGTCGTGTGAGCTATGATGACTTTTTTATTTGTAAGTGATCAGAAGAAAAAGCAAAAGAAAAAATAATATTTCTTGACATTTGAAAATAATATGCAACTCAAATTTCAGTGACCACAAATAAAGTTTTATTGGGACACCATCATGTCCATTCATTTACATATTGCCTATGGTGGCTCTTGTGTTGTGACAAGGACCACCTGGCTCACAAAATAAAAAATAATTTACTGTTTGGCCTTTTACATGGAAGTTTGCCAAGCTCTGCTCTAAAGGCATTGGAAGAATCAGTTCTGGTCACCTGGAGTGGTCTAGAATTTTCCCCAAAAGTACCCGAGGCTATATGTCAAACAGCAAATTCTATGGTGTGAGAAGAGGATACAGTTTGAACCTGTAGTTCCAAGAATGTTCTAGAGTCATGGGTGGAGCTATGACTTACCTGAAGAGTTCCAGAACTTGGCATTTTGCCTATGGTTCTAGATTAAAAGAACCTAGGCTGATGAGAAGGTTCTGGAATGGTAAGCAGAGCTGTCTGGTTACCAGTTCTGGTTACTTGGACTGGGAAGTTCTCTTCACAGAATGAATAGAATTTATCATGGCCGTAGACCAGTAGAAGTGCTCTAGAACTGAGAAGAGTGGTACAGTTCTAGAGGAGTCATCAGAAAGCTCTAGAGTGCTGCCAGACAAGAATATAATGTGAGCCCTATGTTACTTGAAAGTTTCTAGTTGTCCACGTTAAAAAAAAAACAGGTGACATTAATAACACACTTTAATTAACCTAATATGTTTAAAGTGATATGTTAACATATAATTAACATTTTACAATTATTTTACTTTTTGTTCATATTAGAGCATCAAAATCCAGTGTGTATTTTGTACTTACAGCACATCTCTATCCAGACCAGCCACATGGGCCTGGTGGCTGCCATATTGGGTGGCACAGTTCCGGAACCCCAGAGCAGAGTTGTCTGTTGTTCCAGAGTGCTTAGATCACAAAGGAAAAGGGCAGAGATACCTGTGGTTTAAGTTCACAGACAGGAGTATGGTTTACTTCACTGGGGCCTGTACTTGTGGTTCTAAACCAAAAAGCCATAGCAATTGATTAGAACACTCTAGAACTGCTGGCAGAGCTGTCTGGTTTTATGTTGCTCAGGGGATTCTGGAGTCATGAGGACAAATATTTATGTGGTTATGGGCTAGCTTGTGTCTAGAGCCATGACCAGAGTTGTTTGTTTCCGAATGTTCAAGTGATTCACTGAGTGCATCTGTGGTCATGAATTACTGAGGGAATTCTAGAACCATAGGAAGAGCTGCCTGATGCTCTTATGATTAAGAAATTCTGGAATTACGGAGCAGGAAAGTCTGATTCTGGAGTCATGTAGGTTTCTAGAACCCCTGACAGAATTCTGTGATTTGAAACTTGCCAGGGCATTCTAGAGACGAATTCAGAGCCATTTGGGGTTGTGGATGGCGTGAGACTTTTATATATGTGGACAGTTGTCTCCCTGGTTGGATAGGGGAGAATTCTAGAACAGTGGGCAGAACTAATTGCCTCTAGACTGATTCAGGGGGAATTCTAGAACCATTGGGTGGAATTGACTGCAGTTCCGTTGTGTTGCAGTTTTAGAAATGGGAGTGGGACCATCTGCTCTAGCCTAGTCATGGAACTCTAAAAACACAGGGTGAAGGTGTCTGTTAGCACTAGTGCTGTTTTTGGATCTAGCTGTGCTTCTGGACTCACAAAAGCCCCTGGAACTAACTCGGTCCTCTACCTGGGAACCTCAAGTCAGGGACAGAGTTTGCTCTAGAGTGCCAGAGCAGATGGGTTTAGACAGGGTCAGGCTGCTGGGCTGTGTCTCCTGCTGGTGGGATAGTCCTGAGAAAGTGGGAAAATGCATGTGGGTCAACAGTATCAGGTCATGAGAGGGTAGATCTCTCTGTGCTTCCAGACTTTAGGCAGCCAAGATCCTGGACCGAACCCATGGGAGTGGACAAGCCTGGCTATGGCTCTTGGGGGCTGACCTGACTCCATTCTTGCCCTCAGTATCAGGTCCCTGTGACCATGAAGATCTCCGAGATGGTGTCATATTTGGGGCCAAATACCTGGGCTCCACCCAGCTGGTGTCCGAGCGGAACCCACCCCCCAGCACTCGAATGGCACAGGCCCAGGAGGCTGTGGACCGCATCAAGGTGAAGCCAGGGGCTGGCAGGTGGGTTGGCGGGCAGGCAAGCTACAGACTGGGCCCTCTAAGGTCTGGGAGCCTGATAGGGCAAAGGCTGGGTCTTTGGGTTCCTCCACCTGCCACCCCACCCCTACAGGCCCCTGATGGGGAGACCCAGCCCATGACGGAGGTGGACCTCTTTATCTCCACCAAGAGGATTAAGGTTCTGATGGTCGACTCCCAGGTATGGGACCCAGGCCTGGTCTCTGGGGTATGGGAGGCTCTGCTGAGGTTTCCAAACCCTACCCAAGCCTGATCTCCACCTCCTCCAGGAGGCCATGATGGACCATGCCCTGCAGACCATCTCCTACATTGCCGACATTGCCAGCGTGCTGGTGATCATGGCCCGCCGGCGGGTAGCCCGGCGGCCCGCATCCCAGGCCCACGGCCAGCGGCTCTACAAGATGATCTGCCACGTTTTCCACTCAGATGATGTGAGCAGCTGGGATCAGGGTGTCCTGTGGCTCAGGGGGACACGGACCAGCGCCCCCCTTTCCTCTAAAGCTCCCCTGGCCTCACTGTCCTTCACTGGTCTTCAGTGATGGCAGCTGTCTCCATCCCTCTGATGGGTCCCACACATTCCAATTTTTTCCATAAGACTGTGAGACTGGCACCAGATCCCCAAAACCTTCACTGTCCCAGGCCTGCCTCTCTCCACAGATTCCCCAAGACAGTGGCTGTTTTCCCAAAATCTTATCCCTTGGGACTCTTGCTCTGGGTAGGGCGGGAGGGCTGGGCTCTGAGATGTCAGAGGATTTGGGGGACCAGAGGAAGAGGGTGTGACACCCCCAGGAAGATGCTGCCCATCCTCCACAGGCCCAGCTCATTGCTCAGGCCATCGGCCAGGCCTTCGCTGTGGCATATAGCCAGTTCCTGCAGGAAAGCGGCATTGACCCCCGCCAGGTGGGCGCCCAGCCAAGCCAGGGGGCCACAGGCTCTGGCTTCCTCCACAATGGAGACCTCGACCACTTCTCCAACAGCGAGAACTGCAGGGAGGTGAGCAGGTGGGTGGGTCACCCCCTGCCGGTCCCCCACCAAGTACCCCTCATGCCCCACCCATGTCCTCTTCCAGGTGGTCATCGAGAAGCGCCGGGGTGAGGGCTTGGGCGTGGCCCTGGTGGAGTCGGGCTGGGGCTCCTTGCTGCCCACAGCTGTCATTGCCAACCTGCTGCATGGGGGCCCAGCGGAGCGCTCAGGGGCCCTCAGCATTGGGGACCGCCTTACTGCCATCAACGGGACCAGCCTCGTGGGGCTGCCCCTAGCCACCGTCCAGGCTGCCATCCGTGTGAGTCCTGGGGTGGCAGGGGTCAGAGGGTCTAGCCTAAGGGTCCCCAGGTGGTAGGCCTGCCTCTTCACAGAGCTGGGAAGGGGTGCCCGAGGCCACAGAAACACCTTCTTTGGACCCGTCTTTGAGGCCCAGCCCATAAGGGACATGTTAGAATCCTACCAGCTCCTATATACTTAGGGAAACTGAGGCTGGGAGAGGGAATGCCACCCATCCAGGGTGACCTCAGCAGTGTGTTCTTGAGACTTGACCCTTGTTGCCCACGTAGGGAAAGTGAGGCCCAGGGATGAGGAGGGACCCAGCCAGGTCAGAATAGTGGTTCTGACACAGCATGTTACTGAGTGCTTATGACCCTGCCTGGCAGTCACTGCTAGAGACTTGCTTTTGACCATGAGGAAACTGAGGCCCAGGGAGTCAGGGAGGTGAGAGGTCACACAGCTCCAAACTTGAGGCTGTGCAACTCCCACCTGTGTCCTTAACTGCTTCTTGAGGGATCTTCTGGAGTCTAGAGCCTTGACTCCAAATCTCCATTTTGCGGGTGGATAAACTGAGGCCCAGAGGAGGCTGCAGCTTGCCAAGAGGTCCAGCAGCCTCCTGAAGGCCCAGCTAGGCCAACAGCCCTTGTCCTGCACAGGAGGTAAAATCACAGACATTGGTGACTCTCAGCATCGTCCACTGCCCACCGGTCACCACAGCCATCATCCACCGGCCGCACGCCCGTGAGCAGCTGGGCTTCTGCGTGGAGGACGGCATCGTGAGGCCCCAGCCCAGGGCACTGTGTTGGGGGCGGGCAGCTTTGAGCACGTACCCCTGAGCAGCACGGCTCCTTCCTGTCCCATCAGATTTGCAGTCTCCTCCGTGGTGGCATCGCCGAGCGTGGGGGCGTTCGCGTGGGACACCGAATCATCGAGATCAATGGGCACAGTGTGGTGGCCACACCACACGCCCGTGTCATTGAGCTGCTCACCGAGGCCCACACTGAGGTACGTGGGCAGTGGATGGGATTGGGGGTGCCCTCCCATTAGCCCAAGCCCACCCTGAGCCCCCACCTCCTTTCCCACCCCCCAGGTCCACATCAAGACCATGCCGGCCACCACCTATCGCCTGCTCACGGGCCAGGAGCAGCCTGTATACTTGTGACTGGCCACCACCCCACCACGGTGCCTTAGCCCCGCTGGCCCTGGAACTCCTGTCAAAGGTGCCCCCTTGGCTGGCTGGGGCCCCAGAGGATTCTAGGCTCTATATTTTCTGATGTGAAAAATTAAAAGCTTATCAAATGGGTAAGGCCTTGGATCAGGGCGTGGCAGGGATTAACAGGAAAAACAGGACTTAACCCTGGCCTTCCTGAAAGCCCCTAGAAGCAGTGCTGTGAAAATGTTTATTAAAGGCCAGGCGAAGGAGGCAGGGTTTGGGGTTCTGTATGAGAAACCAAGACCCAGCCCCAGGGAGGAAAAGGGAGGGGCCGGCTGGCCACATGAGAGGTGGTCACAGGTCAGTGGCGGGGCCCCAGTCGTAGCCATCTTCGTCAGAGGACCCCACATCTCGGGCCTGTGTAAACTTTTTCTTCACAGCTTCCCGTGCATATGTCCTGGGGATCGGGATATAGAATAGAAGATGTTAGAGGGGAGGGTGCGGACTCAGCGTTAACTGAGGCTGGCTCTGTGCTAGGCACGCTGGGTGTGGGCAGAGGAGCAAGACTGGGCATTAGGGGTCTGGGTTTATTCACGAACTCCTTCATAGTCTTCCACGCCCTAGTTCCAACGTCCCCTCCTTCAGGAAGCCTTCCCAGTGTTACCAGGAAGAGGATTCCCGCTCCCATGGCCTGACTACACGGGGCTTAGATGGCCTCTGCTGGCTCCATCTTACCCACCAGAATAGTGCCACAGAAGGACGGCTCGGTTCTAGGTCTCTTCACCCCCATCCAACCCCCAAGTCCCAGGGAAAGGGTTGAGGGCCCCAACCCGGACTACAGGAGTTCTTACCGTATGCTGTCCTGTCGCAACTGACTCTGTGGGTGGTGGCTGTCCGCCTTGGAGAGGGAGAAAGCAGGTCAGTCCCCCGGAAGTACAAGTTAGGGTGCGGTACCACCCCCACCCCACGTCCCCACCTTTGCCCGGGCAGCGCTACCCACGGGCTGTCTCCTTGCCCCCATGGCCAGACTGCAGCTCATCCCCACTGTTTTTATTTTTATTTTCTAAAGATTTTATTTATTTATTATTTTTTTTATTTTTTTACTTTTAGAGAGAGGGGAAGGCAGGGGGAAAGGGAGAGAAACATCAGTGTGTGAGAGATTCAGTTGCTTCTCACACCTCCCTTCAACCAGGAACCTGGCCTGCAACCCAGGCGTGTGCCCTGACTGGGAATTGAACTGGCAACCTTTCGGTTCACAGGCCCGTACTCAGTTCACTGAGCCAGGGCTCATCCCCAGTTTTAAGTGAGAAAATAGGCTGGGACAGGGGAAGGCCTTGGCTATCTCCTAGCCTGTTAGCAGAGGGGGAACTGGGTTTCCCATCTATAAAATTTCTCAGAGAACTGCTGTCAGGCGTTCATGAGTTCACATATGAGAAGTGCTTCGGACAGAGCCTGCCCGGTGAGGAGGCTGCTGTGGGAGCCAAGCAGGCGGGGTGCTGCACAGCCGCACGGAGCATCGCTCCAACCAGAGGCAGCACAGGTTTGCACATCTCACATCTACCAAGAGGGTCTGGAGGGAGGGGTGTCTGTGTCCAATTAACAGACAGGCACTACAGGGGCTAATGCAGCCCCAAGTAGAATAAGAACTAGTACACACACACACATTATTTTTAAATGTCCAACTACTATAAGCCAGAACTTGGGTCAAGTGTGCTGAGTTTAAACAACCATCCTGTGATGTCAAGACTTTCAGCACCTGCCCTGTGTCCCAGATAAGGAAACTTTGGGCACATAGGCTAAAATACTTGCTGGAAGTGATTCAGTGGTTCATATAGCCTAGGCCTGGGTCCCAGATACAGGTATGAGCAACAAGGGTGTTGCCATCCTGGCGGAAAATAGGGTCCCTGGGTATCTGCCTCTCCCCATCCCGTACCCTGCTCACCTGGGCCCCTCGGCGATCCGAGGATCTGCCATGATCCTGCAGGCTCTGGGGTTTGTCCACTAGCACAGGCTCCGAGGACCGGACGAGGGCTGGCGTGGGGGGGCCCTCATCCACATCCGTGTAGGGCCCACCCTCACCATCGGTGTAGCCCTCACCATCAGTGTAGCCCTCGCCGTCTGTGTAGCCCTCGCCATCTGTCTCGTAGTCACTGTTGACCCGGCTGTCACAGCTCAGGTCCGCGGAGCTGTCGGCCAGGCCACGGTGAGGGAGGTCCAGGTTGTCCTCTAGGGAGCCATCTAGCTGTGGGGCGGGGTGGCTTGGCTGAGCCTCCTGGACCTCAGACCAAACCCCAGCCCAGAATACCACCTTCAAACTCCGGTCCCAAACCAGGTAAGACCATTGACCCTCAGGTTAATACTTAATCCTTGACCCCAGGATGAGTTTAGACCATTGACAGCCTTCCTTGACTCAAGGCTGAGACCCCAAAATATGAGTTGAGCCCCAAACCTTGGATCTACCCTTTGTGTCCCAGTGTTATCTCACCTCAGGTACCCAATTCAGGCCCTAATCTCAGGTTAAATCTTGGTCTTGGCCATGCCCTTGACCCCTGACCTAGCCCTAAATCCAGATAGTCTCCAAACCCTGGCCAGGTACCTGGTCCTCAGCCGTCCAGATGGGCCGAATTTGCTGCTCTTGGATAATGGCCTTGAGCTCCTGGTACCAGCTGTCACTTGTGCCATGCAGGTGAATGGTGGCTGTGGGAGGGGGGGGCATCGGTGTGGGCTGAGAGACTCAGCCAGAATCACTGCTTCGCCTAGGCCCCCACTCCTGCCCTACCTGTGAAGAGGTGGTCGCTGTGCTTCCACAGCTTCTGGGCTTGAGCATAGAGACGGCGGGTGCTGCGGCGGGACGCCGGCGCCAGCCACTGGCGAAGAGCCTTAAGGCCCTTGCGGCTCTCGGGGGCGCAGAAGACCACAATGGGGTAGTACTGCACATAGTTGAGGCGTTCGACTGCTGAGGGTGTCACGTCTAGGAGTGCATGCTTGTCCTGGGCACGGGGTAGTGGGGGAGGGAAAGCATGGAGAGAGACACACACCCAGGACAGGCCAAAAGAAACAAGGGATTGGAGAGAAGGACTCAGGTCAGAGTGGACCTCAGCCTGGCACATGCACAGGCCAGCATGTGGAGTGAGGGCTGGTGATAACCCAGGCCACGGCATCTTGAGCCCCAGAGCCCCAGTTTAAGTCTCCCTGCCTTTTCTGAGGGCTGGCGTGCTGCTGTGTGACTCTGGGAAGGCTCTGTCCCCCTCAAGCCCCAATATCACAAAGCCTCCAAAGGGGGCTTCATGGGAGACCACACTTGAGGGCATGGGGAAAGAACAGGTTGGATGCCTGGGCCTCAGTTTCCTGATCTGTGAAAAGGGACCCACAGCAGAGTCCCGCTTACTTTCTCCGCAATCACCCTCACGGTGTCCAGTTTGATGATCTTAGACGGGCTGTTAGTCCTCAACACGCTCTCTGTGGAGGGGAGAGGCAACCAGCAGCTGTTAGGTGGGCAGTCTCCTGGCCCCTCAAATTCATGTCTACCTGTCCCTCCCCTGCTCAAGATCCCACCATGGCTCCCCATTGCCCTTGAGAGGAATCCCAACAGCAGCAGCAGGAGCTCTCATTGGACTTGTGCCCAATGCTACTGATCTGTGTCCCTTCCTGACATTAGCCCTCAACTCCTCCTGAGGAGGCAAGGCTGTTACTGTCCCAACAGCCTCAGGGTCATAAGGTTACCAGCTCAGAGTCATGGAGCCAACAACCAACAGGGTCAGGAGCCTGATGCAGAGTGGGTGCTCCAGACATTTGTTCTCCCAGGCTTGGTCCCAACTCTAGGCCTTTGTCTGGGCTGTAGCATTCTTATTATTGTGTAGCCATCACCTCCATCCATCTCCAGAACTTTCTCATTTTCTCAAACTGACACTCTGCCCCATTACACACTAACTCCCCCTCCTCCTTCCCCAGCCCCAGGAACCACTTCCTGTCTCTGTGGCTCTGACTCCTCTGGGGGCCTCCTGTGAGTGGGATCACACAGTATTGTCCTGTGTCTGAAGTTTCATTGAGCATAAGGCAGCGTGGGTCAGAATTTTCTTTTTAAAGTTGAGTAATGTTCCCTCGTCTGGATGGACCACATTGTGTTTTCCCTTCATCTGTCCATGGACACTTGGGTGGTATCTACCTCTGGGCTGTTGTGGATAATGCTGCTGTGAACCTTCATGTTCAAGTTGCAGCTTTCAGTTCTTTCCATGTGTCAAAAAGTTTTTTAACTTCAACCATTTAAAATATGTAAATACCATTCTCAGTAGGCTGTACAAAAATAGCTGATAGGCCAGATATGGCCTGGGAGATGTAATTTGTTGACCCCAATTCTAGCTTGTTCCTGAAGCTGTTCATCTTTGATTTCCCTGGGGGACTTGTGTATGTTGTTGGACTCTGTGTCCATAGCTCAGTAAACAAGTCTCTTGAATGAAGGAAGGAACAGCAAGCACATTGGCTCATTGACTGGTGAACTGTGTTAAGAAAAACTTAGAAGCTCTATCCGGCCAGACACCAAGATTGATTGAGGATGTCTGGTCTGGACATTAGAATGAGTGCTAGTGATTCATGTTCTAACTTACCCCAAACAACGTTAGCAGCCCTTCTCAAGCTGCCTCAGCCCCAGAGGCTGGGAAAGGGTTATGAAATGATTCACCAACAGGATTGCCAAGGAACCTGGTTTCTCACCTGCGATTTCAAACTGGTCAGGCATCTCAGCAGTCAACTTCTGCATAGCAATGTCTGCCACGGGTCCCAGGATCACCACTGGGCGCTTGAAATTGGCTGAGGGACCAAGAAATAATGACAAGAATCAGAATCCCATTTGTGGCAAAGACTGCTAGCTAGGTTCTTGCACGACCACTCTCCACTTCCCCTTATAGTTTCATAGCTAGCCAGGCCCGTGCTGCTCAGCTAAAGACTACATCTCCCAGCTTCCCTTGTAGCTAGGGGTGGCCATGTGACTAAGTTCTGGCCAATGGGGTGCAAGCAGAATTAATGTGTGCAGTTTGGGGTTATATCCTTCAAGGAAAGAACTGTCCCTGTTCTTTTTTCCTTTCCTGCTGGCTGGAATGTGGGTACCAGTGCACCATCTTGGACTACACGGGCAGAAAAATGAGGCCAGTCACCTGGATCCCTGAAACAAGGAGCCAGGCCACACTCAAATGCTTACACTGGGACTGTTACTTGAAACTTTTAATGCAGCTGTCACTTGGGGTCTCTGTTAGAGCAGCTAAACCTAACTAACTCAGTGGTCAGCAAAACTATCATTGCAATTCTAGGGCCACATCTGGCCTGCTGCTTGTTTCTTTAGGGTTTTATTGGCAGGCATACATTCAGTCATGTCCATTTATCTATGCACTATCTCTGGCTGCCTTCCTGCAGAGTGGAGTAGTTGTGAAGGAAACTGGCCCACAAACTAAGTTACTCTGCAGCCCTTTGCAGCAAGAATTTGCAGCCCTCTGGACTAACCAATAGGTGCTTTCACCAGTGTAGAAACAGGTGCAGGAGACATCTTGGTGGGAGGAAGGGAGTAGCCAGTCCCCCCTTTACGGCTTCTCCTTTTCTCCTGCTAGCCCTCTCTCTCTCTCAAGAGCTCAATACATTCATACTTCTAAACTTTCACTGCCTGGGTGTAGAAATTAAGGTGACAGCCTCTGATTTTTAAGTTTTTTTTTTCATCCGGATGTTGATGCAGCTGTTGAAGGCAGCTCAGCCTTCTCTTATCCTGGGCGCGCAGCTCTTCCCATCCTCCCGCAGTATTTCTACAGGCCTCTGCACCTGGTTTTAATCCCTTCTCCCCTGAGACTGGGGAAAAGCTTAATCTCTTCTCTTCCTGAAGTCTAAATAAGGCTGTTCCCCTTGCCCCTTCTCAGGCAGGGAAAGGCTCAATGTGCTGCTTTTGTGCCAGTGTGTTTATTTTTAATTGTAATAAAACATGGATAACATGAAAATTAATGTTTTCACTTGTATATTGTAGAGTGTATAATTTGGTGGCATTTAGTACGTTCACAACATAGAGGGACCTGCTATGAGTGGAATCACATAGCATTTGTCCTGTGTCTGACATATTTAGATGAGTGTAACGTCCTCAAGTTTCATCTGTGTTGAGCATGGGCAGAATTTTCTTCCTTTTTAAGGCTGAATAACATTCCATTGTCTGGGTGGACCCCATTGTGTTTATCCCTCCATCTATTCATGGGCACTCAGTTGTTTCCGCCTCTTTGCTTTTGTGAATAACACTGCTGTGAACTTGCATTTTCAACTTGCAGCTTTCAGGTCTTTCCACGTGTCAAAAAATTTTATAACTTCTTTTCAACTGTTTAAAATATGTAAATACCACCCTGGCCGGTGTGGCTCAGTGGATTGAGTGGTGACCTGCGTGCAAACCTAAAGGTCATTAGTTCAATTCCATTCAGGTCACACTCCTCAGTTGCAGGCGAGGTCCCCAAGTGGGGATGTGCAAGAGGCAGCCGATCAATGTCCCTTTCACACATCAATGTTTTTTTCCCTGTCTTTCTCCCTCTCTTCCCCTGTCTTAAAAAAAAAAAAAAAGACTCTTTAATAAAATATGTAAATACCATTCTTAGTTAAGTAGGCTGTATAAAAATAGCTGGTGGAGCCCTGGCTGGTGTAGCTCAGTGGATTGAGCACGGGCCTGGGAACCAGACAATCGCGGTTTGATTCCCAGTCAGGGCACATTCCTGGGTTGCAGGCCGGTTCCCTGCAGGCCAGTTCCCCGCAGGGGATGCACGAAAGGCAACCATACATTGATGTTTCTCTCCCTCTCTCCTTCCCTTCCCTCTAAAGATAAATAAATAAAATATTTAAAAAAAATAGCTGGTGGGCCAGATTTGGCCTGGGAGATATAATTTGTTGACCCCAATTCTAGCTTGTTTCTGAAGCTGTTTATCTTTGGTCTCCTAGGGTGACCTTGTGTATTTTGTTTGATGCAACCAGTACTGCCATCTAGTTCTAGAACATTCTCATGTCTGCCCAAAAAAGCCCTGTTTACCTGAGCAGTCACTTCCCATTCCCCTTCCCCACTTTCTGCCTCTGTGGATATCCCTGATCTGGACACTTCACATAAATGGAAACACTACGAGGCCTTTAGTGTCTGACTTCTCTCCCTGAGCCTCATGTTTTCAAGGTCCATCCACATTGTAGTGAGTATCGAGTATCGGCACTTTGTACCTTTTTCGTGACTGAGTAATATTCCAGTGTATGAATGGACCACACTGTGTTTATCCACTGGTAGCTGATGGGCACTTGGGTTATTTCCACCTTTTGGCTGTTAGGAATAATTCTGCTGTGAGTGTGTATGGATACATTTTGGTCTGAATAGCTGTTCACAGTAGGCACATATTTTTAGGGCGTTATTTACTTCAAACTCACACCTTTAAGTCAGCACCACCCACTAAATGAGTAACGCCCCTTTGCTGTGCAGCAGCCTCTGGCTATGTGTGGCTGTTGAACATCTGAAATGGGGCTTGTCTAAACCAAGATGTGCTGAGTCAAAACATATGCCGGATCTCTAAGACTTAGTGCAAAAAAATAGTTGTGAAAAAACTCATTAATAATTTTATATGAATTATTTCTTGAAATAGTACTTTGGATAGAGTATGTTAAAAAATAAATTATCGCCCTGGCCACGTGGCTCAGTTGGAGTGTTGTCCCATACACCACTCCAATACACCAAAATGGCTGAGGTCCGATCCTGTCGGGGCACACGCTTAGGCTGCAGGTTCTATTCTTGCTCAGAGCGGGTACAGGAAGCGACCAACTGACGTCTCTCTCTCTCTCTAAAAATAAACCTATTCTTGGGTGAGGATTAAGTAAAAATAAAAAACATTATTAAAATTATTTTCAACCATTTCTTTTTATAGATTTTACATGTGGCTCACATATTTCTATTGGATATAGGAATTACTTTTTTTAATCCTCACCCAAGGACACTTTTTTCATTGCTTTTACAGAGGAAGAGAGAGAGAAACATCTATTGGTTGCCTCCCATACGCACGGAGGATGAAACACACCAGGAGCAGAAATCAAGACCACAGCCTTTTGGTTACCGGACTATGCACCAACCAACTAAGCCACACCAGCCAGGGCTAGGAATTATTTTTTAAGGAATGAAGCCCTTTCCTGTCCCCTCTGTGCCCTAAAATAACCAATAGTAGGTATTTTTGTGGAAGGAAAGAGATAGGCATTGTGGCTTCTGAAGGCTATACTAGACAGTCCTAACGCTTAGTTGAGGTTCCACAGCCCCCTCGGCCTGGGTCCCACCTTCTCGCAGCACCACACGTTCATATGGTGGGTAGTGACCCTGCCTGGTCAGATCCGACAGGTCCTCTCGGCTCCGATGGGTCGTCTTCTTGGCACCCCGACGAAAACCACGCAGTCGCCAGAACTCCGCCCGCCGACCAGAGGCCACGGAGGCGCCAGGCCCCACAGCCCGCTGGGCGGCCTCCAGACTGGCCAGCTGCTCTGCCCTGGGAAGAAGGGAGATTAGTGAGCTCCAAGGTCAGCACAGTCACAGCCCCAAAGATGACCACGTCCCGGTCTCAGGGCCTGTGTACTTGTCACCTCCCACAGTAAAGGGACTCTGCAGGTGGGTTAAGGCCCCTGAGATGGAGATGTCCCAAGATTGCCCAGGGAACCCAGTGTCATTACAGGGTCCCCACAAGAGGAGGCGGGAGGGTCAGAGTGGGAGATGGGAGAGGCTGTGCTGCTGGCTGTGAGGACAGAGGGAGGGGCCACAAGCCAGGGATGCGGTGCCTCTAGAAGCTCGAAAAGACTGAAAATGTTCTCCTCTGGAGCCTCTTGAAGGACCAGCCCTGCCCACGCAGGGACTGTAGCCCTGAAACGTTCCTTTTGGACTTCTGACCTCCAGAACGTGTGCAGACTGAACCCACTCGGTCAGGGGTGGTTTGTTCCAGCAGCCCCGGGAAACCCACGCAGGTGCAGCTGCACCGCCCCGAGTCTTCTGCACACTTCCTCAGGCTGGACCCTCGACATCGCTAACAAGTGACATCACGGGAAAACTGAGGCCAGGGGGGCAGTCCCGCTGAGGGTGGGGAGTGGTCCCCACCTCTTCTGGTTGGGAATGATGCCGCGCTCCTGCTCCCGGAGGTCACGACCCATGCGTACCACCAGCCAGTGGCCCCCACGGGTGTGGCTCTGCCCAGGGCCTGAATACAGCGTGTCCAGCACGTGGAAGACGTCGCCACGGGTGAAGCCCAGGCCATAAGGTGGGCTGGGCTCCAGCTCAAAGTGTGTGCGGATGTAGAAGGAGTCGCCCACGCGGGACTGCACCATTTTCTGGAAGACTGTGGACAGGGAGAGGCTCTAAGCCAGGAGGCTGGCGCTTAGACCTTACCCGTCCCCAGGGAGTGGGCCTCACTGCTGGGCCACGCACAGCTCCCTCTTCCTCCCCCAACTCACTGTCCTGCTTCCGCTGCATCACCAGCTCCACCTCCTCGCCCAGTGGCAGCCCCAGCAGGACCTGCACGGCCTCCTCCCGAGTCAAGTTCTGGAAGGGCATATCATTCACCTGCCAGGGAAGGGGGAGGGGATGGATGAAGCTCTGGTCATGAGATCCCAGCTCTCCCTCCGGACAAAGGCCACGCACAACTGCTGCCAGATCTGCTTTCAAGGGTCCCCGCCACTGGGGACAGCTGATGGGGGCATCGGCCTGTGGCAACACAGGCATCACAGATACATGAAGATCTTCGCCCAGAACCCAGGCACAGGACCTGCCATTAGTACACGAATAACTGAGGCTTGGCAGGCTGTCATCATCAAGGCCTGGGAGTGGGGGGTCACAGCGGTGACAAGATCGTGACACTCCAACAAGTGTCATGTGACACTCCAACAAGTCAAGACTTGTCACAGGGTCGTGACAGGGACAACGGTATACAGACACAGACAGCAGGTCAGAGATACCAGCCTTCAGGGTCATAAGGACAACAGACATGGACAGTGAGTCACACCTGCTCTCAGCAGACCCGGCGGGGGTGGGGGACACAGGCTGTAACAGACCAGGGAGTGCCACCCTCATGCTAGCACACCCACTGCCAGCCGTCTCCAGGTTACCTGCAGAATCTGATCTCCCTCTTGGATGCCCTGTTCCTCGGCCGGGCTGCCCTCTTGCACCCCCGACACGAAGATGCCCACATCATTGCCTCCAACTAGCCGCAGCCCAATGCTGGTGCCCTTGCAGAAGCGGACCACCCGAGAGTCAGGGCTGTACCTGAGGGGAGGCAGAGGCAGGGCAGTCCAGTGAAGGCGAAGAGGTGAGCCCCACCCACTCTGGGCCTTGGTTTCCCAAAGAGCCACAAGGGACCTGTGATGGTCCCATCAACACACTGGTGCAGGAAGGTGGGAGTGTGGTGACTGGGAAGATAGCCCAGAGATGTGGGGGGTTTCCAGCTGGTGGGCATTCGCCCCGGGGCACATACCCACGGTCCTCCAGGCTCTGACTGCTCGGCACCCTGTAGATGTCATAGCTGCTTTGCCTGGGGGTGTCTGAGAGGGAGCGGCTGGTCTGTTTGTGAAGCACGCTGGCCAGTCCAGCCACCAAACCTTTGCTATGGGGTGTCCCTACCCTGTGGATGCCGTCACCCAGCCCTTAGCCCTTCCCAGGGAACTGTCTGACCTCTCAGGCCCGCACCAACCTCTCCCCCTCTGCCTGGCACAGCTGCACTGGCTGGGATTAGAACAATCAGAGAAGAGGTGCTCAGAGTCACCACCCACCCTCCCTCTGTTCACCTGGTTCCGAGATGGTTCTGGAATTCGTGGAACTTTCCTGCCGAAGCTGGGCGCTCTCCCTGGTGGGGAGGAGATGTGAGGTGGGGTGATTTTTAGACTTCATTTATCCAGACTCAGATTCAAGTCCTGGTTCTGCCCTCTGCAGCCGTGGGATAGCAAGCCCATCACTCTTCCTCTCTGAGCCCCAGGGTCCTTCTCTGAGCCCTGGGGTTGGCTGGGTGGAGTCAAGGCTTCAGTCAGGGCTGGACTGAGATGAAATAAGCTTCGGCAAATAGTCATTTCAGTGTTTTAATATTAGTGAAAAGTTCTAGCGGTTGCTTTGAACTAAATGTTCGAGTCACCAGCAAATTGGTATGTTGAAGCCCTAACCCCTAGTGGGATTGAGTTAGGAGGTGGGGCCTTCAGGAGGTGAATAGGCTGAGATGAGGTCACCGGGGTGGGGCCCCACCACAGGGTTAGGGCCCTTATAAGAAACACAAGAGCCCTGACTAGTGTGGCTCAGTTGTTTGGCCATCGAACCACACAGCAAAAGCTCACTGGTTCAATTCCCAGTCAGGACACAGGCCTGGGTTGTGGATTCATTCCACGGTCAGGGTGTGTACCAGGGGCAGCTGATTGCTGTTTCCCTCACACACTGATGTTTCTCTCCCTCTCTTTCTCCCTTCCTTTCCCTCTGAAAAGTGAATAAATAAAATCTTTTTAAAAAAAGAATGGAAGAGACACTCACACTGTGAGCGTTCACTATGGGCTAAGCACACACATATCTCCTTTTGTCAGCATTAATTAGCGCCCTAAAGAGGCAACAATGGAGTAAGAGTTGGGGCCTTGGGGTGAGCCCTCCTCTGGCCTCTGAGGTAGCCCCAGAGACCCCCACCTCCTGGTGGTTACCTCTGCTGCGGTGCCCCTCCCACGGTGAACTGAGGGTGGCCTGTGGGACCGAGAGAGTGCAGTGGCAGCGCAGGTGCGACACATCTGAGATCGGGTTCACCTTTACTCTCTCACCGTTCGTTTGAGGGAACCAGAAGGACAGGCCCACCTGATGAGGATCTGAGACCTTCTGCCGACAGCCATGGCAGTGAGCGTGGAAGTGGGTCGTCCGCCCCCGAAGCCTACAGCCCTAGACAACTTTTGACTGCGACCTCATGAGATTGCAAATCAGAGCCACTCAGCTAAGCCGCCTCCAATTCCCGGGTCTCAGAAATGATGGGAGTTACCAAATATTTACTATTGTTTAAAGCCACTAGGTTTGGGGGTAATTTACATAGGTAACTGATACAAACTCTGCTTCTCAGGATGCTGAAAGCTTAAGTGCTGTGCCCATTATCTAAATAAACCCCAAGTATTGAGCGTTTATGTCTTATAGGCATTGAATTCTGCTCCCTTACTATTCATTTGCCGAAGTCCTAACCCCCAATATCCCAAAATGTGATGGTATTTGGCAATAAGACTGTTGTAGATATAATTAGTAAAGAAGGGGTCATACTGGAGCAGGGAGGGCCACTAACCCAACATGACTGGTGTCCTTAAGAGAACAGGAAAATTTGCACAGAGAGACAGACACATCAGGGGAAGACAGCGTGATGACACTCGGGAAGGAGACAGCTGTGCAGGGGCCAAGGAGTGCCAGAGCCATCGGAAACCGGGGGACAGGCCTAGAGCCAATTCTCCCCTGGAGCCTTCGGAGGGAGCACAGCCCTGCCAACAGCCTGGTTTGGGACTTCGGCCTCCAAAAGCAAGACAATTTCTATTGTCCTAAGCCACCATATTCGTGGCACTTTGTTACAGCAGCCACAGGAAACTAATACAAAATAATTCCAATGTTTCCCTTTTATAAAACATCATCATAATGAACCAGCAGCCTCCAGTCCCAGCAAACAGTCATGCCTATTTTGCTCCCAAGAGAAATCCCTAAAAGGGCCTTGCTGGGTCAAAGGGTGTATATATTTTAAAGTGTTCTGGGATGCATTATGAAATTCAGTTCTTTCTAGTTTGTCAATCCATATCTGGTCCTCCTAGTACTCAAGAACCAAAAGCCACATGCTGTGGGCAAGAAAGACTGTATGTGGATGGGAAAGCCTCTTCCAGGCAGGCCACCAGGACTGGACCCTCAAGGCGACCCCCAGTTGGAAAAGATATGCCCACGTTCCCCTCTTGCTCAACCATTCTGATCAATGGTGGTACGTACACGGGGGAGTCAGTTCGGCTGGCATCGGGGCTCCGCTCCCTATGCTGGGGTGGTGGTGGGACATGGGATGGTGGCGCCTGAGATAGTTCTGAGCCGAGGTCTGAGATGTCTGCAGGGGAGAGGGCATCCCATCAGCCACAGTCCTGTCTTCCAGATTGGACTCATTTTCACAGTGGGGAACATCAAGGCCCCTCTAAGCAAAGGTACCTAGACCAGAGTCAAGCTCAGACAGGTAACTCCAACCCTGATTTGCTGTGTAGTCTTCAGCAAATTTCTGTCTTTCTCTGAACCTCTTGGGAACAGGGTCACCAACTCTGGCTTGGCCCTGCCTAGTACTACCACCTCCCCTGCCCTTCATTCAGCTCCTTCCCCAGGGCCTGCCTCCTGGCCCCTCACCCTCCAGGAGGGAGCTGTCACTGTCACTGACAGCTGGTGGGATGTTCACCAAAAACTGTCCTCGGTCCCTGAGCACCAGTAGAGTCAGCTTCCCTTCTGACTTCTCAATCAGTCGCCGTGTGTCACTCAACGACAGATTCTGACTGGACACCCCATTGATCTACAAAGAAAATAGAAAGGAAGAGAGGACGTGAGTTAATGAAAGACAGGGGAACACTAGAAACAGATCGCTTGGTGGGGGCACTAGAAACACACAATCCCCTGGGGTTACTAAAAACAGACATCTCAAAAGAAAATGATAGAACTGGATTCCTGCTGTGAGAGGAAACTGCACCAAGAACTAACTTTCACAAGGATTCTAGAAACAGACACTTCTCTAAGGAGGGGAGCACTAGGGGGAACTAGAAACAGATTGACTTATCTCCCTAGAAGGGGAAATTTCTCATGAGATATTAGGAACAAATACTAGAAATGAGTCTAATTAAAATAGAGGGAAAGGATACTTAAACATACCAGAACTAGGAGATACTGGGGAAAAAGCATCAAGAGGCAGATCAGAAACTGAATTCCTAGGAAGGACGTACATCACTTCCACTCACACCAGGAACCCTTTCTGACATTCTCCCTCAGGAGCGTCTGTTCTCGGGAGCCCTGGAAATGGTGAGTTCCAGTCGCCCACCCAGCTGTTTCTAGTAGTTCTAGTGTTGGCCCCAAGCTACTAGAAACAGACAAGTCCTCGGGGTCACTAGAAATAGATTATTCTGAGGAGGCAATAGAAGTAATCAACTGGAAAGAGTTGGGAAATCAAACACTGGGAGTCACTAAAAACAAATTCTCAGGAGCAGAATCCAGAAGGAAACCAGCTCCTGAGGCAGAGCTGCTCCTCCACACCTCATCTCCCATCGGCACCATCAGTCTTGGGCAGGTCTTCAAACAAGACCTGAAGCCAGCTGACCAGTGATTCTGATACTAGAAACAGACAACCCAAGGGGGTACTAGAAACTGACATTTGGCAGTGGATTAGCAGCAGAGGAGGGGATGAGAGAGAAGAGGGGAAAGCCACTTCCAACCTTTTGGGAACCGGCAACAATGCAGAAGTCAAAAGGGTCTGGACCAGCTCGGCTGACTTTGACCTATGACTCAGTGGCACTCATTACCTCTGGCCTCAATCTTCCTGTCCCGCCCCTGACAGGAAGCCTGGGCTCACCTGTAGGATGAGGTCACCTTCCTGCAGTCCACTGTTGCGGGCAGCCAGGCCCGAATCTGTGATGTGTTTGATGAAGATCTGGCTGCCCAGTTTGACCCCAAACTCTGTGGGGAGAGGAGGGAACGGGAGGCAAGGCCTGGAAGGAATCGGGGCTGTCGGATCCTCTCTGAGCTCCCGGCCTTTCCCACCATCCAGTCCGCTGTGCGGCAGGGAGGGGTCAGGCTCGGCTCCCTCCCTGTCACGCAGGGGCGGTTCTGATACTGACAACTTGATGGGACACGAGTATCACTGCAGGGATTCTGCTGTCATTCCATGGATGCTGCAGGGAGAATCGTTTCCGCTTTTCCAGCCTCTGGAGGTGCCACATCCCTGGCTCGTGGCCCCTCCCTCTGTCCTCATGGCCAGCAGCGCAGCCTCTCCCACCTCTGACTCTGACCTTCCAGCCGCCCTCTGATGAGCACGCAGGGAGGACGCTGGGCCCCCTGGGTAATCCAGAGCCACCACCATCTCAGGGGCCTTGACTTCATCCATCTACCAGGTCACTTTGCCACATGAGCTAACATGTTCACAGGTCCTGGGACCAGGACGGGGATGTCTTTGGGGATGTCATCTGGTCCACCACACCCACTAAGGGACCGCCCTTTTCTGTGGGGATGCCAAGCCCCACTGCCACCAACACACCCGCTGGCCCACCTTCACTCTCCCTCCTCCGCACCAGCACCGACTTCACTGGCTTCATCCGCACATCCTGCCGTGGCAGCCGCTTGAAGCCGGACACCAAGGCCAGCCCATTGACCTCAGAGCCCCTGTCCAGGCTCCTGCTGGAATGGTTGCCAGCCCGGCTCCGGCAGCCTGCTCTGGGCCGGTGGGAGCGCCTGCCCAAGGAGCAGCCGGAGCCGCTGGATGTGTCGCCCTCGTAGCCCCGGCCATGGTCAGCCTCCTCGTGCCGCCAGGGCCCATCCTCATCTGAGTCCTGGTGTCCTGGGCCATAGGGGCTGGCCTTGGTGGCGGGCAGCTGGACCTTCCGGGGACGCTTCACGGTCTATTAGGGGAGTTGGAGGGGCAACCAGCTCACTGCTCTGTCCTGTCCACTGGGTGGCCCCGGGGGACCCCAGCCACTCTGGGCTCAACATCCAAGCTGTGAATCAGGAACAAGACCCCACTGCTCACACTCATATCACCCCTGCACCGCAGGGCCAGTGGGGCTTAGCCAGGAGCACAGGTGCCCCTGAGCCAGGGCTGCCCCTCCCGCCTGGCCCCACTCACAATGTTGGCCATCTTGGTGCAGGTCTTCAGTATCTGAATCGCAAAGGTGGAGCTGACACTCTCCATGGACACGCCGTTCACCATGGCAATCTGGTCCCCCACCCTGATGGAAGAGGCCAGGTCTCCAGGACGAGGACCCACACAGAAGCCCCTTTCCCCAGGCCTGCCCTCAGGACCCCTCGCACCTCCCAGAGCCCACCTTCGGGGAAGGCACTGCCTGGTCTAATTCCTTGGTGTCCCTAGGCTCACAAAGACATTTAGCCCTCTGGGCCTCAGTTTCCTCATCTGTAAAATGGGGCTGCTGCTCACAGAATGCACTATAATCATAGCAGTGCAACCAGAGAAGGGAAGTTGGGGTTACAACTGGTGCCTCTGTCACCCCCTTACTTTTCTCTCTCCCTACCTATGCTTCATAGCTTTCTTTCTCCAAAGTTGGTCCTGGGCTGAGTCACATCACCCATCAGCCACTCAGGGCCCAGAACCATTTCCCCCAAACACCTCCCAGAGCCTTCTGCTCCCATGGGCTCAGAACACTGGTTCTCCTCCCTTCTGGCCAAAGAGAGGTTTCCAGGTCACAGGGATGGAAAGCACAGCACGGGGATTACAATCGATAGTATTGAATGTCTATGTACGGTGTCAGGTGGGTACTAGACTTATTGGGGGAATTACTTTGTAAGTGATACAACTGTATAACCACTATGCTGTACACTTGAAACAAATATAATATTGAATGTCAACTGTAATTTAAACATTAGAAAATGGTTTCCAGGACTTTTTGGTCCAGGAGCTCACTGGAGCCACTCTGGCCCAGGAACTGTGTTGGAAGCCTGAATCAGTGACCTTGCCCCAACTGCCAGCCCCAAGCCCTGTGCTGGCAGAGCCGGAAGGCACCAGGCACTTCCCAGCCCCTCACTTTGGCCCCTGCAGGTCCCTCCTCTCCTTGTGCCCAAACCCAGGCTGCACAGTACTCACTGCAGCCTGCCGTCAGCGGGCCCTCCGGGCACCACGTCGGACACGAACACGGACCCACCAGGCCGGTCATGGCCACCAGAGATTGCAATGCCGAAGCCGCGGTGGGGGTCCTGAGGGGGAGTCAGAGACAGAATGAGCTTTTGCTTCCCTCCAGGACAGAAGTTCTCCCGTGGGGACCAACTGCCATTTCCATGAGCAACCCCTCAGGGAGAGAAGGCCTCACCTTGCAGATCGTGGCTGTGTGCTGTTCCCAGATGGTCAGTTCCTCCATGTCCGACACCTGGCAGGAAGGGGACAGGGGGGATGGGTGTGAGGTCATGGCACATTCATTGGAGCATTTGAGGGTCCCCAGCCTTCAGTGGGGAGCCCCAATCTGACACCCCTATGGTTTAAGCCTGTGGACAAGTTGCTATGTCTCTTGAGAACTCAGTTTTTCCATCTGCAAAATGGATTTAAGTCAGTGGTTCTCAACTGGAAATAATTCTTCTCTCCAGAGAACATTTGGCGATGCCTGGAGACATCAGTGGCTGTCACAACTGGAGATGCCCCTGGCTCAAGTGCACGAAGGCCAAGGATGCTGCTCAACACTTCCAGAGTTCACAGGGCAGCCCCACCGTAGCGAATGGTCCAGACCCAAATACCAGTAGTGCCAAAACTGAGAAACCCCAGGTTAAGTGAACCAAATTGTACTGGAAACAAAAAAAGGTGAATTCTTGGCCTCCTTCCCTGTGGAAGGTTTGGCTCCGTCCCTGAGGGGATCTAATGAGACCTATCAGACAAAGGGAGCTCACTCTGCTCCAGCCACACAGGCCTCCTTGCGTTCCTGCAAGGACTTTGCACATGCTGTTCTCTCCCCCGGAACTTTCTTCCTACAGCTCTTCACCTGACTCCCTCCCTCAGCTCCTTCAGGTCTCAGCTCAATGTCACCTCCTTCGGGAGGCCTCCCCGCCACACTGTGCGGAACTGTGACCCCACTGCCCCACAGCAGACCACTTTCTCTGATACAGTTCTGTGCCTTAACTTGTGATCCCTAGGTTTATTTTTATCTGTTTACTGTCCGTCTCTCCCTCTAGAATACCGGCTCCAAGGACAGAGATTGCTGTCTTGCTCACAATGGCGTCCCAAATGCCTAGATCACAGCAGAAATTGGTTAAGTATTCACTGAATGAATGAAGTGCTCCCTTTGTGCCAAGCACTTTACATGTACTATCTCATTTAATCCACTCATTGATGGGGAAATGCTTTTATCCTGTATCACAGATGGTGAAACTGAGGCACAAAGAGGTGATGTCACCTGTCAAAACAACGGAGCTGATGGAGAGTGGGGCTCTCGGAGAGCAAGTTCTCAGGCTGTGGGACCCTGGGAGAAAAGGGGACATGGAGCCTGGCCAGAAGCCAGCCCCCACCCATCCCTTACCTTCTGCCAGGCTGCCCTGCTCTCTGGGGGGTCTTGTAAAAATTACTCCCCAGACTGGCACAGCACAGGTCATGACCCCCTCCACGTGTGCACTCCAGTGACTTTTCTTATAGGGTCCCAGGAAAGAAGCCTTCCTGGCTCTCAAGAGTGGGAAATGGGCCAGAGGAGACAGAAAGGAAGATGAGGAAGAGGCCTCACTCTCGGCCTGCAGTACCATGTCATTACGCACAGCCAAGGCTCACCTCCCTGTCTGCCTTGTGCTGACTGGGTGCTGCCTCTCCCGGCTTCATCTTCCTTATCTGCAAAATGGGTGCCCGGCCCCCGCCACCATCACTCGGGGCTGAGGTGCAGGAGGGGAGCACCGAGTCAGAGGGAGCTGAGAGCCTCGGGAGATGGCAGTTATTGTGAGGAGTAATAATACCATGGCCTTTCTCTGCATCATTTTAATAAGCAACACTATCCAGTAATGGCTGCCACCGAGCGCTGTCCACTTACCCACCCATTTCATCTTGAATAACCTTAGGAAGTGGTACTGCTGCACTTCCTACCTTGTAGGGGGTGAAAGACAGGTCCAGAGAGGTTCAGTAACCTACCCACGAACCTGGGCAGCCTGCCCACACCCTGGCTCTTAACTACCCCGCTGCAGCATTCTTAGATTTTTTTCTTCTGAACTTATTTTTCAAAACAGAGAACCTTTTTACTTGCTTTGATTTTATACTTTGTGTCATTCAGTTCCCCCCGGAATTTGTATTTCTTGGCCTTATTTTGAGAAACAGCCCCCAGGGAACCAGAGCCCCTGGAGGGAGGCAGGTGCAGGTGGCCAGCCTTGTTCCATCTTGTCTTGTCCTGTGGGTTCTTGTCCTGTGGGTTCACCGTGGATACTGGAGGCCTAACCCCTCAGGGGGTCAAGCCTAACCCCTCAGCCCGCCACAGCCTGGTCCACCTCCAAACCTTTGCCCTGCCTGTCACCTATGCCTGAGACACCCTCTTAGGACTAGCATACGCTCGGACTCTGCCACTTGGGTCTCGGATAAATAAGGGCTCCGGCCAATCTTCCCTGGCACCCTATCATTTCTCCCTGTTTTATTTATAATGTGTTTTTCACAGCATCCAAAACCATCTGAAATTATCCTATTTGAGCATCGGTTTGGGAGTGTCTGGTCTCTCCTCTCCGGCTGTCTCTCTGGGTACCATGGTGGTGGCCTTGAGCACCTCCTATGCCCTCCTTTCAAGGCCTTTGCATGTGCCGAACTCCCAGGCAAATTCCTATTCATCCTTCACATCCCCATTGCCACTGCCTCTTCCTCTAGGAAATAAGTCCTCAGTGCCCCAGCTCAGAAGAGGGTGGGGCCTGGGCCTTCTTCCCATCTTGTCCCACCCCCCACCATCCCCAGCTACATGCTGCTGTGCTGGACACAAACACTGCAAATACCTGAGAGAGGAGACAACCGGAGGGACAGGTCCTATCAAATCAAACAGCCCCAGGCAAGTGGCTCCCAGGCTAAGGTCCTCTCTCCCTCTCAGTTCCCACCTCCAGGAACAATGGTAGGGCAGCGGTGCAGGGGGTTGGGGGACGGGGCAGTGTACTCAAGTGGGTGAGGGGATTCAGGCTGCCGCAGGCTGCAAGGCCAGGTAGGGAACCAGAACTGCCCCACCCTAAAGCTTCCGAAGTCTTGTAGCTCCTTAAGCCTCAGCTTACGCCTCCAGGCCAGTCTAAAACCCAACACCGAATGGGACTCAGTTCAAGCTCCATCCTCGAAAGTGAAGTTCCCCAAAACAGAGACACAGGATCCCCTCCCCACAGCCCCGTCAATTTACTCCAGTGTAAAGGGGCTCTGAATCCCTGACCTCTGTCTCCACAGGGTCATGCAGGTGACCAGCTCTGTGTACACTAAGCATGCAACAAATGGTGGTTCCCTGTCCAGCAGCCTGGCTGCATTCACCAAACCCACCAAGCCCACATGAAGTCACTGCCAACAGTACCGTGAATGTAGTAAACATTTTTACTGAACGCCTACTACATGCCAGGAACTTAAAACACATTTTCCTCTTAGAATCCCCTCCACCTTTCTTTAAAATGACGATCACCTCTTCCATAGATGAGGTACACAAAGCAGTTCGCTCACTGGCCCAAAGTTACACAGAAAATCCGCGATTTGAACCCAGGTCTACTGGGTAATGAAGGCAGCTTTTGGGGCCGAGGGGTGCTGACGCTCCTCGAAGTGCAGCCTGGGGCTAGCCAATGCAGGCCTCTGAGCCTCAGTTTCCCTATTTGTTACACAGGCAGAGGGTGATCAGGGGTCTTGGGTCCAAGCCCCAGCCCCACCTCAACTCGATTCCCTCCCCCTCCCGCTCTCGGCGGGCTACTCGCCTGGAATCTCACCGCCATGGTCCACTCCGGGGCTCTCTCGAGCCCCTGTCCCAGGGGAGCCGGGAAACATCAATCGGTCCCCACGCTGGGGTGAGGGAGAAGGCTGGGAGGGTCACAGTGGAGCAGGTGGCCGGTACTCTCCTTGCTCCCGCCCGCTCGGCCGCTCCCGGCTGCACCTGCCTGCCTTCCTGCTCCGCGTCCTCTACCTGCCCCGCCCCCCTGTCCTGACACGCCTCCTGGACGCCTCTGAGGAGGCCTTTTCCCCGACCCTCTCCCCCGCCCGCACCCCTGCCATTATATCACAGAATCCAGGCCCTACGTGAGAATGCCAGAACGGGTTTTCCATCCAGCCGAGCACTAGCCGGCAGTCGACGCAGGAGACAGGCCTGGCAAGGCTGCAGGGAAGACCCGGCAAGAACGTTGGTCACGTTCGGAATGGTGCTGCGATTCCGTAGGTTTTCTATCAGTGAAAGAGACACTTATTGAGGTTCAGTTGGGAGACCTAATAGATCCGAAGCTAGTTGAGAACTAGAGACCCCCAGAGCATAGGGCTGTTCCTTCTCGAGTCACCCCATCTCCGGGAGGCTTACTCCATTTCACAGAGGGGAAACTGAGGCCCACTGAGGGCCCAGCATGGACTTTCTGAAGATGCAAAGCTGCCCCCACTGGGGCCTGGCTTTGTCTTCACACCCAACACTGGGCTGGGCCTCCAGGAGAAAAGGGCGGAGCGGGAGGAAATTCCTCAGGCTCCTGGGAGTAAAGGTCGGACTTCCTCCTTCTCTCCTAGAGTTGCCTCACCCTCAGGGGCCCAAGTTCCTAAGGTAAGGTCTAGGGAGGACCTCCCCAAGGCGCGAAACCCTCCAACCAGGTGTGAGTAAAGGAGGAAATCACCTGGAAGGGTGGAGCTGGCAGTGGCTCCGCCCACATTCCTTTCTGCTAAAAAAAAAAAAAAACCTTCCCGAGGCCCTGAAGTTCAGCTCATCCTGAACTCCACCTCATTCCAAGGCCGAAAGGGCAGATCCAGGTATAAGGGCCCCCTCCCAGCCTCATCCACTCAACACTGTACAGAAAGAAACACTAGACTGTGGGAAGGGGAAGGCACGGAAGAAACTGGGAGATCAAGGTGAAGATTTCCTGGAAGACGGGCATTGCAGCTGGGGTTTTGAATGTTGGATAAGAGTTTGTTGAGTGAAAAAGACAACAAAATTAAAATCTTTGAGGCTTCCAAACCTGATTTCTCACACTTCCCAACTTCCCAGTTCTCCCACAAAACACTAGTCTGGAGACCCCAGTCATCTAGAATCGGCCCCTCAAGGGTTCCATATGCCACCAAAGCAATAAACCTTAGCAGAATTCCCCTCTGAAGACCTACTTGGTACCTCAGGGCTGGAGAGGAAAGCCCAGCCTTTCTCGATGTTACTTTCAGAGACTAGCACACAGGGCACAGAAACAGAAAATGGTTTTAGGTAGAACAAAGTCAAACATTTTTAAA